TTTTGACTAGAATGCATTTACAATATGATATAAGTGAAAAATATGTTATGGGTATTTGATTTTTTTTTTCAATAAATTTCAATTGGGTAGACCTTTTTTTAAATTCACCCATCTTCTACTTATTCATTGTATGACCCTTAAAACTTAAAAGAAGAATTAAAAGAAACAAAACTGCTCTCCTACTACTGACAAATTATATATAAGATTGATTGATTGATTATTTATTGTTTTACGTCCCATTCGAGAATTTTTCGCTCGTATAGACACGTCACCATATACCTGCATAGGGCCATTGAGCAGTGAGGGTTCTTTATCGTGCCAACGCCTAACGTGACACGGAAGCTCTGTTTTAAGGTCTCATCCGAAAGACCCATGACTTTCACTTCTAATGCCGGGCGCTTGGCGAAGAAACAGTCACCACCTATGTTTACGTCTTAGGCTTGACGCGGCACTGCGAACGAGAATCGAACCCGAGTCTCCAGATGATGAAGCAAACGCCCTACCACTAGTATAGGCTACCGTGACCGGTCTATAATATAGATAAATACAGAAGACGGTTATGTCTATAGTCCGTGTAAATAAAAAAGGTAGAAAGTTTGTCTATAGTTTCTGTAGATAAATACAGTAGAATGTAGCACGTAATGTATATAGTCTCTATAGATAAATACAGTAGAATGTAGCAAGAAATGTCTATAGTCTCTGTAGATAAATACAGTAGAATGTTATGTCTATAGTCTCTGTAGATAAATACAGTAGAATGTTATGTCTATAATCTCTGTAGATAAATACAGTGGAATGTAGCACGTAATGTATATAGTCTCTATAGATAAATACAGTAGAATGTAGCAAGTAATGTCTATAGTCTCTGTAGATAAATACAGTAGAATGTTATGTCTATAGTCTCTGTAGATAAATACAGTAGAATGTTATGTCTATAATCTCTGTAGATAAATACAGTGGAATGTAGCACGTAATGTATATAGTCTCTATAGATAAATACAGTAGAATGTAGCAAGTAATGTCTAAAGTCTCTGTAGATAAATACAGTAGAATGTTATGTCTATAGTCTCTGTAGATAAATACAGTAGAATGTTATGTCTATAGTCCCTGTAGATAAATACAGTAGAATGTTATGTCTATAGTCTCTGTAGATAAATACAGTAGAATGTTATGTCTATAATCTCTGTAGATAAATACAGTGGAATGTTATGTCTATAGTCCCTGTAGATAAATACTGTAGAATGTTATGTCTATAGTCTCTGTAGATAAGTACAGTAGAATGTTATGTCTATAGTCTCTGTAGATAAATACAGTAGAATGTTATGTCTATAGTCCTTGTAGATAAATACAGTAGAATGTTATGTCTGTAGTCTCTGTAGATAAATACAGTAGAATGTTATGTCTATAGTCTCTATAGATAAATACAGTAGAATGTTATGTGTGTTGTCTATTATTATTATTATTTTTGAAAACTTACATGGTACAACTTAACTACTATGATTATGTATCTATTTTTGGTATGAGTTAACTCCAATGTTACTCACTTCCTGTTGACCTGCTTGACCAGCCCTGGTGTGGCTATTTCTTAATTAGAAATCCTAATGCATCAGATATTTTGAGTGCCTAAAACCACTATGTAAGTCTTTTTATATTATTTTTGAGCTATATTTTCACTTTATTTGAACGTATTTTATAAAGTTTCTATTTAGATAAAAAGTTTTTCTTAGGTAAAAACATTCTCTAAAGTATGACATGTCATTTTGGTCACTAAATTTTGTAATACTTTTTTTTTTTAACTTGTTTAAATACTATATCTTTTTGAACCTTTTTTTGTACTTTATTTGTAAGCATTTGTTTATATTTTTTGTAGCTTTTTACCACAAACAAACTCGCACACTCATACTGTGTACACTCATGACCCACACAACATGAAGAATAAATTTATTTCGTGTGACTTTGACTTCTCATGTGTTGTACAATGTCGATGGTAAGCTATCTGCCTGCACCAGGCAGAATAGTAAAAAGATAGTGGTTTCGTTACTTTCACATGGCTGACGCCCTTGGTAGACGAGTACGGACATTAACAGAGAAAGGCCAAACCATGTTTCAAGAACAGTGTAAAAAACTAAAGGGAAAAGTGGACAGAGCATGGAATGAAGTAGAGGATGTCTTAGTAACTTCAGGCTCGTGTGAAAAAGACTTCAGAAAAATAAGGGAAGTAGAACGCTTACTCAATGTGAAATTTAAAGAATTTTGTATTGTCTCAGAAGATTACAAGAAATATCTTGATTCTCAAAACACTGAAGATGCTCGCAATATGTGGAAAGAATTTGATATGTTGGTGAACAAGTGTATTTCAATAGTGAAGAAAACAAGTAATGAACTTGAAAAAACAAAATTTGAATTACTGGAAACATTATCTCATGTGTCAAGTTCGAGCAGTCTTCAGAGAGCTAAAGCACAAGCTGAAAAGGCCAAACTAGAACTTATTAAAAAAGAGGGTGAACTTTTAAAACAAAAGACCGACATTGAAACAAAAATAAGCATTGTACGACAAGAAAAAGAAATTCTCTCAGCGGAAGCAGATTTATCAGAAGAACATAAAATAGATCTTCCAGTTTCTACAAAAGAACAATTGACCAGTGCTTATATAATGAACCATCATTCTGCAAATACTGGTATTGACAACGTTCAACAAAATCAACCAAGCTTTGAACAAAACCCATCAAACACAATACACAACCCACCCATCAGTGTGTATAATCCTGCGAGTGTCTATCAACTTCCTGTCTCTCAAACTTCAGCTATGTATGTGCCTCCAAATTCTGTGCCACAAATGTTTATTCCTTCAAATCCAGCGCCGCCATTGTTTATACCTCCTAATCCTGCTCCTCAAGTAGTGTCTAATACTTCAGCAATAACCGACTTTTCTAAGTTTCTGTTGCGCAAGGATTGTCTCCTCACAAGATTCACAAACTTTGACGATCGTCCAGAAAGTTTCAACTCTTGGACTTCTTCATTCCGCAACATTGTATCAGAACTTGGAGTCACACCATTTGAGGAAATGGATTTACTCGTGAAATGGCTGGGCCCAGAATCGTCAAAGTTTGCACATACACTACGCTCAGCAAACACCCACGATCCACGTCTGGGATTGAAACGCATATGGGATAGACTGCATGACAGATATGGGAGACCAGAGATGGTTGAACATGCCCTTAAAAGGAAAGTACACTTGTTTCCAAACCTCACAAATAGAGATCATGCCAAATTATATGATCTAGTGGACATTCTTACAGAAATTGAATCTGCTATGGCAAACAAACAGTATAACCTTCTTCTCAGCTACTTCAACTCTTCCACTGGAGTTCTACCGATAGTTAGCAAGCTACCAACATCTCTACAAGATAAGTGGACTACTCAAGCTGCTGGATATAAGAAACGGAACTGTGTACCATTTCCCCCATTTTCATACTTTGTCAATTTCATCCGTGAAATATGTGATATGCGTAATGACCCAGGACTTATTTGTCAACAGTCCACAAACCCACAGGTAGCGTGCAGCAAGCCTAGATCTACTGGCAATGAAATTTCGTCACTAGCACCGCCAACTCGTTGCCCCATACAAAATGCTGGACATACACTGAATGAATGCCGTGGCTTCAAAAGAAAATCACTACAAGAGCGTCAAAGGATCTTACGTGAGAAGAATTTGTGTTTCCGGTGTTGTGCTTCACAGAGTCATATGTCTAAAAATTGTACGGCAAACATAAAATGTGATATATGTGGTAATTCTCGTCATGTCACAGCGATCCATATTGATCGTCGTCCTCAAAGACCTCTGTCACACACGGCCGTAACCACAGTCAAAACTACTTCGGACAATGGCGGGGAGCCATCTCCAGAAAATGATGAAACAGTGAAATCGTGTTGTAGTCAGCTGTGTGGAAATTCTGTTGGTGGACGTTCATGTGGGAAAATAGTTCTGGTGGAGGTGTTTTCTACTTTAAACCCAGAGAAAACAATTCGTGCATATGCTACAATCGATGACCAAAGTAACCGTACTTTAGTGTCTCCTAACTTGATCGAACAACTTGGTGTTTCGGGAGACTGTAAGTCCTACACACTTACTTCATGCTCTGGTGTATCTACATTCAATGGACGCCGTGTGAATGGATTGTGTGTGAAATCCTTAGATGGAACATCATTTAACTTACCTGAAGTTATTGAATGTGATTCAATTCCAAGTGATTATCTTGAAATACCTACTTCAGATGTCGCTGATTCATATCCGCATCTACAACGCATTGCATCGTTCTTACCACCCTTTGATCGTACAGTTAATGTCGAACTCCTTATTGGACGTGACTTACCTGATGTACATCATGTACATGACCAAATAACTGGTAGCATAGGTCAGCCTTTTGCCCAACTTCTATCATTAGGATGGGTTATTATTGGTGAAGTTTGTATTGGAAAAGTTCATCCCCCAAAGGAAGTAAATGTAAACAAAACGCATATTCTCAATGATGGACGGTGTACCACCTTCCCATTGTGTCAGAATAACATCAGTGTCAAGGACAGTGATAACAGCATATTCCTACAAACTCCATTTGACAACAAGATTGGACTTTCTGTTGATGACCGCAAATTTCTCACTCTCATGGATGAAGAGTTTCATAAGGATGCTGAAGGCTATTGGTCTGCACCACTCCCTTTTAAAGATTCTAAACCAGCGATGCCAAACAATTATTCACAGGCCTGGAAACGTGCTTTGATCCTCAAGTCTGCAGAGAGATCCTCACAGAAGAGAACACTTTTTTGCATTCATGTCAAAAGTTTTAGCAAGCGGGGCAGTCGAAGTTGCCCCATCCGACATACCCGGGGAATGCTGGTACTTACCTCTTTTTGGGGTGTACAATTCTAAAAAGCCGGATCAAATCCGAGGAGTTTTCGATTCATCTACTGTGTACAAGGACATTTCATTTAACAGTGTGTTAATGTCTGGACCAGACTTAACAAACAACCTTGTGGGAATCCTCATGCGTTTCCGTGAGAATGCAATAGCGATCAGTGGTGACATTCAGCAGATGTTTTATGCATTCCGTGTTCATGAAAAACACCGTGATTATCTCAGGTTCTTCTGGTATGAAGATAATGACTTTCAAAAACCTCTGATACAATATCGTATGAAAGCACACGTATTTGGAAATACACCATCTCCAGCTGTGGCAACTTACGGACTTCATAAAGCATCAGCTGTTGGTGATTGTGATGTTCGTAAATTTGTTTACAATAATTTTTACGTTGACGATGGACTTACCTCCCTTCCCACTGAAGCTGAAGCAGTGACCCTTATGAAGAAAACACAAGCAGCACTAAAAGAAAACGGAAATATTCGTCTTCATAAAATCATCTCAAACAGTGTAAACGTGATGAAATCATTCCCTACAGATGACTTAGGAAGTGACCTTAAAGAACTGAATCATAGTACAGACATGTGCAACTTACCTGTTCAACACAGTTTAGGAATGTTGTGGGACTTGAACAGTGATATGTTTGTGTTCAAAATCTCTAATGCAGAGAAACCTTGTACCCGAAGAGGTTTTTTATCTACACTGAACAGTGTGTTTGATCCAGTTGGATTTATTTCTCCAGCAACCATCAGTGGAAAAATTCTGCATCGTGAACTTGTACCTCCTGGATGTGACTGGGATGAACCACTCTCAGAGGAACACGTGAAGAAATGGCAAAACTGGCTTGATTCTTTACACTCTATTAACGACTATAGAGTTCCGAGAATGATCGTATCTACTTCCATATCTCAGGCACATTGTTTGGATGTCCATGTGTTCTCTGATGCATCAGAACATGCCGTTTCTGCCGTTGCATATCTCCGAGTCATTGACAGAGTGGGAGAAGTTTCTATTGGATTCCTTATGGGAAAATCAAAGCTGGCACCTCTTAAAGGTCACACCATACCAAGACTGGAATTATGTGCCGTCGTCCTGGCCACAGAGGTAGGAGAAGCAGTATGTGACTATTTGAACATTCCACAAGATCGGTTTCATTACTATAGTGATAGCAGAATTGTCTTAGGGTACATTTGCAATAACACCCGCAGATTTTTTGTGTATGTTTCGAACCGTGTAGAAAAAATTCACCAAGTTACATCTCCATCTCAGTGGTCCTATGTCTCAACAGATAAAAACCCTGCAGATATAGCGACAAGATATTCACATACAGCATTGACCACATCTCTACAAAACTGGATAACGGGACCCCAATGGTTGAGAAATGTTCCAGAGGAAACCAAGACTGTTTATCCCCTCATTGAGCCAGAAAGTGACGGAGAAATTCGTCAAGAAATTGTTTCAGGCAAAACTCAAATTTCAACTGAGATTTTGGACTCGAGTCGTTTTTGTAAATTTTCTACCTGGAAGAGTCTTGTGAAAGCCATTTCAACTCTGAGACATTTCATTAGAAGTAAAACAAAAGTGAACTGTGAAACCATTGAAGAACAACCAAAACTACACAAAGAAACAGAAAAATTCATCATTCAACTGGTTCAACAAGAGTCTTACAGTAGAGAAATTGAGAACCTAAAGAGTGAAAAACCTATACCAAGAGACAGCAAAGTGTCAAGGCTAGACCCGTTCCTTGATTCGTCAGGAGTTTTGCGTGTCGGCGGAAGGCTGAAGCGAAGTTCACAATTATCGCTAGGAGAAAAGAATCCAGTCCTTATACCTAATCAACACCATATTGCGAAACTTCTAGTGCTTCATTATCATGAAATAATTCATCATCAAGGACGTCTTTTGACTGCTGGAGCTATCAGAGCTGCAGGATACTGGATACCGAGCTGCAAACGACTGATATATTCCATTTTATCTGGTTGTGTAAAATGTCGTAGACTTCGTGGTAACTTTGTTTATCAAAAGATGGCAGACTTACCTGAGGAACGACTGCTTTCTTGCCCACCATTTACTTATATTGGCGTCGACTGCTTCGGACCCTGGAATGTTGTCACCCGACGTACACGTGGTGGTTCTGTGAATTCCAAACGATGGGCTGTGTTGTTTACATGTTTATCATGTCGTGGTGTCCATATTGAAGTGATCGAAGAAATGAGCACATCTTCCTTTATCAACGCCTTGCGTCGCTTCACATCAATCAGAGGCAAAGTGAAGGAATTCTATTCAGACAGAGGGACCAATTTCATTGGTGGATCTAGAGAACTTGGAATTGATGCTATTTTCGTGGAAGACCTCTCAATGAAATCCTTCCTAAAACAACAAGGAGCAATTTGGAAGTTCAACACACCATTCTCCTCTCATATGGGAGGCGCTTTGGAGCGCTTAATTGGTGTTATCAGACGGATCATTGATTCCATTTTACTAGATGCTAAGTACACCAAGCTTACTCATGAAGTCCTATGCACATTTATGGCCGAAACGACAGCAATAGTGAACGCACGTCCATTGGTACCAGTATCCACAGACCCAGAAACACCTTGCATTTTGTCTCAAGCTGTTTTGCTTACGCAAAAAATCACAGATTCTACAGAGGATTTCAAACATCTATCTGTTCGTGAAATTTATACTTCCCAGTGGAAATTCGTTCAGTGCCTAGCCGAGACATTTTGGCGCCGATGGAAGAGTGAGTACCTGCAGAGTCTTCAAGTGCGCAGAAAATGGAAACATACTGTAAAGAACATTCGTGTTGGAGACATTATTCTCTTGAAGGACAATGAAGCACAGCGCAACCATTGGCCGACTGGACTGGTAGAACGCGTTTTTCCTAGTGACGATGGACTGGTGCGCAAACTTGAAGTTCGCATTATGAAAGATGGGCAATTGCGGACTTACGTTCGCCCAATCTCAGAAATTGTGTTTCTGTGCCATTCAGAGTAATTTATGAAAATGTACACTTTTGTGACGATATAATAAGACTCTTTAACTTAGACCTTTTTGTCTCACTTTCATACGCACCATGTTTATTTGTTGGGTGATATATTCATATCAGACGGGGAGTGTGTTGTCTATTATTATTATTATTTTTGAAAACTTACATGGTACAACTTAACTACTATGATTATGTATCTATTTTTGGTATGAGTTAACTCCAATGTTACTCACTTTCCTGTTGACCTGCTTGACCAGCCCTGGTGTGGCTATTTCTTAATTAGAAATCCTAATGCATCAGATATTTTGAGTGCCTAAAACCACTATGTAAGTCTTTTTATATTATTTTTGAGCTATATTTTCACTTTATTTGAACGTATTTTATAAAGTTTCTATTTAGATAAAAAGTTTTTCTTAGGTAAAAACATTCTCTAAAGCATGGCATGTCATTTTGGTCACTAAATTTTGTAATACTTTTTTTTTAACTTGTTTAAATACTATATCTTTTTGAACCTTTTTTTGTACTTTATTTGTAAGCATTTGTTTATATTTTTTGTAGCTTTTTACCACAAACAAACTCGCACACTCATACTGTGTACACTCATGACCCACACAACATGAAGAATAAATTTATTTCGTGCGACTTTGACTTCTCATGTGTTGTACAATGTCGATGGTTAGCTATCTGCCTGCACCAGGCAGAATATTATGTCTATAGTCTCTGTAGATAAATACAGTAGAATGTTATGTCTATAGTCCCTGTAGATAAGTACAGTAGAACTTTCATGTCTATAGTCTCTGTAGATAAATACAGTAGAATGTTATGTCTATAGTCTCTGTAGATAAATACAGTAGAATGTTAATATGTCTATAGTCTCTGTAGATAAATACAGTTAAGTGTTATTTCTATAGTCTCTGTAGATAAATACAGTAGAATTTTATGTCTGTAGTCTCTGTAGATAAATACAGTAGAATATTATGTCTATAGTCCCTGTAGATAAATACAGTACAATGTTATGACTGTAGTCTCTGTAGATAAATACAGTAGAATGTTATGTCTATAGTCTCTGTAGATAAATACAGTAGAATGTTATGTCTATAGTCTCTGTAGATAAGTACAGTAGAATATTATGTCTATAGTCCCTGTAGATAAATACAGTAGAATGTTATGTTTATAGTCACTGTAGATAAATACAGTAGAATGTTATGTCTATAGTCTCTGTAGATAAATACAGTACAATGTTATGACTGTAGTCTCTATACATAAATACAGTACAGTGTTATGTCTATGGTCTCTATATAAAATGGTAGATTGTTATGTGTATAGTCTCTGTAGATAAATACAGTAGAATGTAGCACTTAATGTCTATAGTCTCTGTAGATGAATACAGTAGAATGTTATGTCTGTAGTCTCTGTAGATAAATACAGTAGAATGTTATGTCTATAGTCTCTGTAGATAAATACAGTAGAATATTATGTCTATAGTCTCTGTAGATAAATACAGTAGAATGTTATGTCTATAGTCTCTGTAGATAAATACAGTAGAATGTTAATATGTCTATAGTCTCTGTAGATAAATACAGTAGAATGTTATGTCTATAGTCTCTGTAGATAAATACAGTAGAATATTATGTCTATAGTCTCTGTAGATAAATACAGTAGAATGTTATGTCTATAGTGGTGTCGGTAGATAAATACAGTAGAATAGAATGTCTATAGTCTCTGTAGATAAATACAGTAGATAAATTATAAATTAACGTTAATATCCAGCCATATATTAGTGTTAATGTCCAGACATTACTGCGTTGTGATTGTAAATAACTGATCACTTGTCATTATTAGAACTCATATGACAACTAATGCATTGAGCTTCATTACTGAAATTTCAAGTTTTTCTATCAATTACTGATAAAATTTTTCTCCTTTGATTTTTATTTGAATCAGCAGAAGTTCCCTAAGATCTTGTCCACACCAATTAGATTCCTGTCATCCAAGAATATGTCAATGAACGTTTTAAGACAAGCATCGTGTTATGAACAATCAGTAGAAGGATTATAGAGAAGCATTTCCCTGAAATTCTGAAAAAACAAAAACAAGATTCAGTTACAGAGCATCAGATTTAATCATCAACAAATGTAAAATTACGCCATGACATAATCCAACAAGCAGACAGGAACATTGATCTAGTATCACCATAGAAACAATAGCTCCTGTTGCTATAAAATACATGTATATTAAATTATTAGTTTGTTATAGCAAGGTATCTTCTAAAACATTATGAGTTTCTACAGATAATTTAGTTGAAAAAAATACATGTATTGGTTATGTAGCTAAAAACTAAAAATGGGGGAGAAAAAGAAAAAAGTTTTATTTTTCTTTGTTACATAATAAATCCAGAAATGTTTAAACCTTTACATTGTTTAGTTAGACAATGACATCATGAAGTCAATCTAAAATTTTCACAATATTTGACCCAAACCTCTAAAATTTATAAAATTCCATACATCTCTATTATATATAAAATACTATACTGCTTTCTGATGGAAATTACTAGTACATGTAAACAACCATGATGTATACATGTTACATCTGGTATAAGACTAGTGATGTACTTATAAAAATAATAATGAAAATTAATTGCTATGTGTATGGTTTAACAGGTTTTGAAAAAATAAAAAAAAATACACAAATATATATGTACAAATAAATTCAGGATAACTTTTAAATACAATTCTTTTAAATACCATCTTTTCATCCAAAGGCATATACATGTATAAATTAAGGTATAATAGACAAGTTACTTTTAATTAACAGCTGCAGTTAGATTATCAAAGGGGTTTTATATGTAAAACAAAATGTAGTAAGAGTTGTCGTATACACCAAACACAAACCTTGATAGAGTTACATGTGGACGGAATTTTAACAGTAATCTCAGTAAGAGAAAAAATAAAACAAAAATTTAATAAATAAATAAATGAACAAAAAAACACATACAAAATAACACCTCTTATTTAAAAAAAAGATACATTACCAATCAAAGAAAATTATGTAAATTAAACCCTGTAAAATCACAAGTTCATTGCAAGTACAAACTGTTGGAATGGAATGTTTATTACTTCAAAAACATTATGAAATATTACATGTATTTGTTGACTATTCAATATGGAAACTTCTCTATAGAAATCTGTTAGAAATCTATGCAATCAGAGATCATAGTAAGCTATTCTAAATAACAAATGGCTGAAAATTCTTGAATAATCACGGAATGACTAGGGAAGGTAATATACATATTCCTGATTAGGCATTATACAATATGTAGAACATTAAAATCTCTTATTTTTGTGGGGTCAAATTTTTGTTGTTCGAGGAAATTTTTTTTTTAGTTTGCTGGGATTTGATTTCAAAGTTACTGAAGAAAAGATACCGTAGTTTTATTTTTTTTTTTTGGTAGAGGACATGAAATTGTCAGTCTCTCAGTACCATGAAAACAACAAGAATTAAACCCCCACAAACATGTATAGTGCCTCAACAGTACGTGAGGTATGAACTGATGATTAGGCCAGGTAAAATTAAACTTTAGATTCTCATCCCCGCCCGCCCCTCTCAAAGTGCCCCGCCCCGTTGTTTTTTATTTTGGTTTTCAAAAGTATTTACATGTATTTTTGACTCAGCAAGAATCAGTCAAAATTTAAGAGTTATCTCCCGTCTGTATTAAAAGTCGCGTGGCGCTATTTATAGCACAAAAGCCATGTGAAGAATGGAGAAAAATCGGCAATAAAAGCAGTTTAAATATGTAGGGAAAAGATAATTTGCCAGGGTAGAGAAGGCAGAAAAGCAAAAATAACATAAATACATCTAGATACCATCACTGGCATGAGCAAGTTTTTAAAGAGATTTTAACCAAGTAAAAACAGACGAAGAAAATGACATCTGGTCAAGTTACAACTTAATAATAATCGCCAGTTGTATGTGATTTTGTCTTTAAAAAAAAAAAGAAAAAAAAAAGATCGCTGGCAGACTTTAGAGGATAATAATGCTAAGGAAATGGTACATGTAAATCTTAAAACTGTTGAGCATAGGCTTTTCAGTAGAATATTTTACAGTTTTAGACATCGATCCTGTTTTGCAAAAATGACATATTTTAATGTTGAACGTGTCAAGTCTCAAGAACGAAAGTACGAGGACAGTGGAAATCAGTGATATTTCACACAAAACAAAAGGAGTTGTTGGTAAAACTAAAAGGTATGTGGAGAAAGGCTGATGAGAAGTCGCCAATGACGACTACTACATACAGCATATGCAATTTATTGGGATCCGCACCCCATTTTGTGTGGCGTGTGCCGTATCTGTGTACTTGAAAATTCATTAATAAAAACTATAAATATTTAATATTCTATAACAAGAATCCTCGGTAGATATTTGAAAGAATAAACAATAAAATATATTCATATTGGCATTAACATAATGTGAAAATTTTGTGTAAGAAGAGCGTTATGTAGATATTTTCAATAATAAAAAATAAAAAATAAAATCCGCCCACCCGCCCCAATTTTTTAGCAAATTAGGATGAGAATCTAAATTTTAAATTTATCTGGCCTTATATACATCATAAATATATGTACAATGTATATTGTATATCACAGATTGCTGAGTTTAGATGTACTTTTGATCAGAGATGTAACATTAAGCTACTGATGAAACCCTTTAACAATTATTAACACAATATTAAAAACAAGAGGCCCAGGGGCCACATCGCTCACCTGAGCACTATGGCTAGGAAAAAGCAGAAATCACTTCAATCTTGAAAGGTTGAAAAGTTTAAATATAAAAATGGTTGGGGGGGGGGGGGGGGGTCATAAATTGAACAAATTTGAATCTACATTATCTGAGGATGCTTCCATTTAAATATGACCAATCATGGCTTTGCTGTTCTTGAGTAGAAGATTTTTAAAGATTTAACCTATGTATTCCTATGTAAAACTTTGATCACCCATTGTGGCCCCACCCGACCCCCAGGGGTCATGTTTGAACAAACTTGAATGTACACTATCTAAGAATGCTTCCATATAAATATGACCAATCATGGCTTTGCTATTCTTAACAAATAGTTTTTTTTAAAGATTTTTACTATGTGTTCCTATGTAAAACTTTGATCGCCCATTGTGGCCCCACCCGACCCCCGGGGGTCATGATTCGAACAAATTTGTATGTACACTATCTGAGGATGCTACAATATAAATATGACCAATCATGGCTCTGCTATTCTTAACAAATAGTTTTTTTTAAGATTTTTACTATGTGTTCCTATGTAAAACTTTGATCGCCCATTGTGGACCCACCTGACCCCCGGGGGTCATGATTTGAACAAATTTGAATGTACACTATCTGAGGATGCTTCCATGTAAATGTGACAAATCATGGCTTTGCTGTTCTTGAGAAGAAGATTTTTGAAGATTTTCCCATATATTCCCATGTAAAACTTTGATCGCCCATTGTGGACCCATCCGACCCCCGGGGGTCATGATTTGAACAAATTTGAATGTACACTATCTGAGGATGCTTCCATGTAAATGTGACCAATTATGGCTTTGCTGTTCTTGAGAAGAAGATTTTCCCATATATATTCCTATGTAAAACTTTGATCGCCCATTGTGGCCCCACCCGACCCCCGGGGGTCATGAGTTGAAGAAACTTGAATCTACACTACCTGAGGATGCTACCATATAAATATGACCAATCATGGCTTTGGTGTTCTTGAGAAAAAGATTTTTAAAGATTTTTTCCTATATATTCCTATGTAAAACTTTGATCGCCCATTGTGGCCCCACCCGACCCCCGGGGGTCATGATTTGAAGAAACTTGAATCTACACTACCTGAGGATGCTACCATATAAATATGACCAATTATGGCTTTGCTGTTCTTGAGAAGAAGATTTTTAAAGATTTTTCCTATATATTCCTATGTAAAACTTTGATCGCCCATTGTGGCCCCACCCGACCCCCGGGGGTCATGATTTGAACAAACTTGAATCTACACTACCTGAGGATGCTTCCAAGTAAATATGACCAATCTTGGCTTTGCTGTTCTTGAGAAGAAGATTTTTGAAGATTTTCCCATATATTCCTATGTAAAACTTTGATCGCCCATTGTGGCCCCACCCGACCCCCGGGGGTCATGATTTGAAGAAACTTGAATCTACACTACCTGAGGATGCTACCATATAAATATGACCAATCATGGCTTTCCTGTTCTTGAGAAGAAGATTTTTAAAGATTTTTCCTGTATATTTCCTATGTAAAACTTTGATCGCCCATTGCGGCCCCACCCTACCCCCGGGGGTCATGATTTGAACAAACTTGAATATACACTACCTGAAGATGCTTCCACATAAGTTTCATGTTTTCAAGCACAGTGGTTCTTGAGAAGAAGATTTTTTAATGATGCCATTTATTTTTCACAAATTCTTAATTATCTCCCCTTGGAAGAAGGCGTGGCCCTTCATTTGAACAAACTTGAATCTCCTTTACCCAAGGATACTTTGTGGCAAGTTTGGTTGAAATTGGCCCAGTGGTTCTTGAGAAGAAGTCGAAAATGTGAAAAGTTTACAGACGGACAGACGGACTACAGACAAAATGTGATCAGAAAAGCTCACTTGAGCCTTCGGCTCAGGTGAGCTAACAATCATGGATATAATGAATTATTGGTTAAAAATTGCATGATATAGTCATGTATGAATTGTTAATTAAAATCAATTTACTCACAAAAAGGAAAAACTTTCCCCTGGTCAGCTTTATACATAATTTGTGATTAAAATTCACTTATTTTTTGCTTTTCTCAGATCAACACAGGTCCTCGTCCTTATTTCTTCATTATGAAAACCTGTATTATCTAAATTCAAAAATAATTGAAGATAATATTTCAGAAAAGCTGAATCTCTAAGGGTCTCTTGGGTCACTGTTTGAGCTTTTGACGCTCTTTTACATTTGCATGCAGTTTTACAACATCCATTTTTCAAAATATGAGATGACCAAGTCCAGAGAATTTTCATACGAACTGTAATCATCATTCCCCACGAAATACAAATAAATAATGGGAAATATGATACATTTCTGTACTGACTTCAGAAAATCAGACAGAGTCCTACAGGTCTTAACAAAAATCTAGCTAGTTCATAAACAGCTAGATCAATACAAGGTTTTTCTGATATTGTAGAAATTGTTAGAATAAAATTTCAATTAATTCTGGTTATCTCGAACTGAATGGGATCAAGAGAAAACTAAGATATCATATCATAGGGTTCAAGATATTGAGTGTAAAACACATGAAAAGTGGTTGGGACTTCCAAATGACTTTGAGATATCCATGTTACATGTAATTGAGATATCCATGTTCAAGATACCAAAGTTCAAATCAACTGTATATAGTTAGATATGTAATGTACATTTTGCATTTGAAATTTCAAGTGATACAAAAACAGTCATTCAATTCTTTTGAAATTACTCAGAAAAAAAGTCTCTTAAAATACACACCATCAAATGCATTGAATCAAAACTTAACAGTGAAAACAAATGAAAACTGAACAATAGCTTCAAGCATTTTGTCTGTTAATTTATACAATATCACAGTGAAAGTTTCCCTGCTTTAATACTATAATGCCATGAATAATAATACTTATAAAACTTTAAAATTCATTGTAATATGTTGGTATTTCATTGTTTCATTAATACTTAAGAACAATAATCTGTTAGGTCTCCACACAAAAAAATGGTTTTATTTGCAAAAACAATTTACTTCACTGGAAAAAAAAAAAGCTTGGAATAAATCATCCAAAAAGAAAACTATCAAAATATTATTCCAACATCTAATGCACAATCATTAAACTCATTCCATTTGAGCAACATTGTAAACCTGATTACTTCATACACTAGTATTTTCCTATTTTTAATCACGTGAAAAAAAAAAAGAAATCCTAGTTATAAGAGACTTTAACAAAATGTTTAATCTGATTCGGACAGTTGCCGACTTCGTCGTCGTTTAAAAATTCTCTTTTTAGAACGCCTTTCATCTTCTGTACTGCTTTCTACCCGAAGGAGGGATTTCTTTGACCGCAGTCTTCTAGGCATGTCAGAATCGGAATCACTTGCCCGTATATTGGACGACCTTGTTCTTCTTGGCGTACTTAGAATGTTATACGAATCCGGAACTTGGGGACGTGCATTATCTTCACTGTCAAAGGAATCATCAGACAAATTATTTTGTGATGTCTGGCGACGTTGTAAAAACAGATTCTTGGGAGTAGAGTCTGGACCTCCCCTTATTGGGGACTTGGTCTGTCGGGGAGACAAATTCGAAGCAGGGCTGGGCATATCTTTCCAAGCCTCACTTTCTGGTTTGGCGTTATTTTGCTGATCCAAGTTTATAATTTTTTCCTCCTCTTGCTGCTTTTTCTTCTTCTTTTCTTTTTTATGTTTCTTCTTCTTCTTCTTCTCTTTCTTCACTTGATCTTCATCAACAACATCCTTCAAAATTACCCCAAAAATTAAGGATCTTGGACTTGTATTAAGAAATATGTGTCATGTTCCAAAAACCTTTTCCCTATGAATGCTACAAATGCTTAAACAGATATTACAAATGCTTATTATGTATATGAAAAAACTTGACCTTGACAAAATGAAAGTGAAAGTAAATCCCAAAAACATGACCTTGACAAACTGAAAGGAAAAGTAAATCCCCCTAACCTCCTTTGTTTCTTCTTCGGGTTTTTGCTCCTCTTTCTCCTCCAACTTTTTGGCATAGTCAAGGACAGCTTCAGTCTTAGGCCAACCACTAGGCTCCAGGGGACAAGACTCTAGTGTTGTCTCTCGGGCCATTTTGACTGTCTGTGTGGCACTTAACGTCTGATTAAAAGAACTGCCTCCGTGGTCAGCAGTCAGTTCCTCCTCTACCAATTTAAACAGCTCTTCAACCCTGAAATGAATAAAGGACTTAATTCTTTTAACTATACCTTTCTTTTTGATATTTTACTTTATACACAAACTTCACTTTCCGCTTTTGTACATGTAGACAGTTTAGATTCTGTTGAATTTTACCGGTTTTTTGTACTTTGGATTCTGTTGAATCTCTATGTATGGATTTAATTCGTCTTAGGAAAATGCCTTAAATACCATTTTTGTAGTTTAGATTCTGTTGGATCTCTATTTGCTCTGATTTAATTCATCTGAAGAATGTGACTTACCGTTTTTGTAGTTTAGATTCTGTTGAATCTCTATGCTCTGATTTAACTCGTCTGAGGTAGTTGGCCATTTCCTCTTTCTCAAAGAGTTGTAGAAATTCCAGGTGTCTCTGAGTGAACTGCACACCTGAGATGTACACAAGATATTTATTTTAAAAAAGAAATATAGAAATTTAAAGAACATATTATTCCACTTGTTTTGAACTCCTTTCACTATCAATGCACTTTTTTGTATAATTATGGATTTCCAATTTTATACTAAGTCTTATAAACTTCATATTCTAACTAAAGTTTCTTTTTCCTAGCACATATCCAGACTCATAAACTTCTAAAAGAACTTAGCCCAGATGGCTTTTAAAATTTCAATTTCTTTTCAAATTATGCTCTATGTTACTTTTAAGATTTTTAAGATAGAAATATCTTCCACAGGGTATTTCCAACTTATCTGTGTACATAAGAAAGAAATTCTTCTACATTTACTCTTATTTAAAATTTCACTTTAAGACATCTTATGACATTATACTATCTCTTTCTCAATCACTTGCTCCTTAAATTTGCCTTTGATACCCTATTTCCCTCCCTCCTCTTCAACTTTCCCCTTTTCTATCATGAAAAATTTGCCAGGTTCCCCTTTCCTATCATGAAAGATTTTCCATTTTTTCCCTTTCTTAGAATTCTATCCTGAAAGATTTGCCAGTTTTCCCTTTTCTTATCCTGAAAGATTTGTCTGTTTTCCCTTTCTTTTCTATCCTAAAAAAATTGCCAGTTTTCCCTTTTCTATCCTGAGAGATTTGCCAGTTACTCCCTTTTCTTTTTTATCCTGAAAGATTTGCCCGTTTTCTCTATCTATCCCAGGTTGTCAGTTTTCCTTTTTCTATCATGAAAAATTTGCCAGTTTCCCCTTTTCCTTAGAATTTGCATGTTTCTTCTTTCCTTCTCCCTTTGAATTGACCATTTTCATTTTCCCTCCCAGTAGATTTTTCCACTTTCCCCTTTTCCATCCACCTTACGATTTACCAGCTTCCCCTTTTCCCACCCCTTAGGATTTTCTAGTTTCCACCAATCCACCCCCCCCAAAAAAGTTTAGTTCCCCCCCCCCCCTTCCTAAGGAATTGCTAGTTTCCTCTTACCTTTGGATTTCTTTCTACAGCAGGTTTTCCTAGCCAGCCACTTAAAACATAGGTACACATGAGGGATGATACTGAGGGGCGGTACCAAGGCCGTCTTGTTGTCAAACTCCATTGTAAGGAAATACATCTGGAACTTCCAAATCTCGTTAGATTTCTCCTCAACCTTGGTGAAAATATGGCTGGGAAAAAAAACAAAATCAGGTCATGTACAGGTAAACTTAATTTTAACATTTTTTAATTTTTAATATTTATCATTTTATTCTTAATATTTATCATTTTAACTCCTTTATTATGAGAATAAACAGAGTATTTTATCATGTTTAATTAAAGTAGTTTTTAAAAAGAAAAAAAAGCGCCTTTCCTCTACCTGTTTATATTAACCAGACTTCTTCATATAATACAATGATAAAGTATTCTTAATCTGGAAACATAAAATTGAAGCTATCTGTACATTTAGGTTTACAGGAGAACTTTCAACATGTACAGGTACTAGACTCACTTGAAGATGGCGATAAGAAGATTAAAGAGTAGGACATTCCCCATGATGAGGTACCCGGCACACAGGATGTAAACAAGCCAGTACTCTTTCTTACATTTTGCCAGTGCCACCACGCGTGACATCGTGGAATTAAACGTCCTTCCATTCACTTTGTCAATACAGTCAGCGTCACCTAAAACACAATTGTAAAGACTAATTGTTAGGCCACTATTTACATACTGAATTGTCTACCATTTTTCCCAGTCATGAGAAATAGCACACGGCTGGTGTGTCAGGCTGACAGGAGATGCTCACTCCTCCATGGCACCTAATCCCATCTCTGATGTTTTTAGGAGTCTGTGTTTGCTCTTCTCCCAATTTCTCTAGTTTCAATGGATTTTTGTGCTTGATTATGGTTAGTAATCTCCATTATTTTAAGGAAAGAAGTGAATGAATTGAGAATTCTGTTCATGGCCAGTTGTGATTTTAACATAATTGAACAAAATGTCCACTGTATCATGTAATAAGATCAACATTGTACACCATAAAAATATTGTAACTTCAGGACTTATACAGATTTCATATTTAAACAACAAAATGCTTTCTGTGATTTTTAATGCACGGATAATGGTTGCAAACATTTCAGAAAAAAAAACTGTATAACCCCCATTATCAAGTTAGATATTTATTCTGCAATGTTGCAACTGTTTATTCCTGCATTAACAAAGAAAAAAAGAATTATAAATCATTTATATAAAGGGGGTGAAAGTGAATGGAATATTACATTTTAAATACTAAAATGTAATCAAAGCTAAATGGTGAAACTCTCAACAAATCAATTGAGGCCAATAGGTTTTTCAAAATTCTCTTACTTTAGCCATATTTTGTGACTGTATCTCAGTTTACTTTTCCTTAAAGTTACATTTTTTTTAAAACAAAAATTCAAAACTGAAACGCTTAATTTCTATTATATGCCATATTTTGGTTTTCAAACCTTGATTTTTATATTACTGTCTTACAGACTTTTGTTTCTATTGACTTACTGTATTTTGTTCTTATTGACTTACTGCAATTGTTCTTATTGACTTACTGTATTTTGTTCTTATTGACTTACTGTATTTTGTTCTTACTGATTTCTGTTCTTACCGACTTTTGTTTCTATTGAATTACTGACTTTTGTACTTATTGACTTACTGACTTTTGTACTTACTGACTAACCGACTTTTGTTCTTATTGACTTGCTGACTTTTGTTCTTATTGACTTATTGACCTTATTGACTTACTGACTATTGTACTTATTGACTTACTGACTTTTGTTCTTATTGACTTACTGACTTTTGTGCTTATTGACTTACTGACTTTTGTTCTTATTGACTTACTGTATTTTGTACTTATTGACTTACTGAATTTTGTTCTTATTGACTTACTGACATTTGTTCTTATTGACTTACTGTATTTTGTTCTTATTGACTTACTGTATTTTGTTCTAACTGACTTACTGTATTTTGTTCTTATTGACTTACTGTATTTTGTTCTTACCGACTTTTGTTTCTATTGACTTACTGACTTTTGCACTTACTGACTTACTGTATTTTGTTCTTATTGACTTACTGACTTTTGTTCTTATTGACTTACCAACATTGGTTCTGACTTACTGACTTTTATTCTGACTTAGTGACTTTTGGTCTTACTGACTTACTTTCAACAGCATTTTCAAAATCCAGTTCCCCATAGAGCTGCCAGTATGGGAAAAACACTATATCTTTCAGGATTTCCCATGATGCATCTCTCTGTCTGTATAGCAGTGATTGGCTGGCGACACCATAAGCCAAGAGAAAGACAACCACAACAAGGAGGAACATTCGCAACTCATCAAACTACAAATAAACAAAATATACATATTAAACTTTTAATCAAAGGCTCAATAAGTTTCCAATAAAACTAGAAATAGAAGAACCTCATATATCGTATCTATTCTATCACTGTTTCACTTCTTACAAACTACTTTCTAATGACAATGGCCAAAGAAAATTATGCAAGATCAGTCTTTGTAAATGCAAATAGAGATATTATTAGTCTCAAAATTAAAAAAAAAATTGCCTGCAAATCATTGTTGACTGCCAGGGCTGCGTTAAAGATCTTAGCAGCTAGAAAGCTCTTCTTACATGTAGAAGGCTAAGCTAGCTGAAGTGGTATGTAGGAATAACATTGCCTTAAATGACCTCATAGCTAGCTTAGCTGCTACGCTAGATATTTCTAATCTCAAACATGGCCTATTTTGGTGGAAATCCTTACCATCATCTTAATCATGACCAGCTTTGGTCCCAGGCTGCTATTGGCTGTGTACAACTTCATGATGCGTAGGTAGAAAATGATACAGTTCACGGACAAAATCACCTTGGCCTCATGAGCATAAGTTTCCATGGCGATGATTCTGATGATAAACGCCACAAGTGCCAGGAGTAAATTTAACATGTCCACTGTCTTAAGGATTCCGTACCAGTCACGTATCTTGCCATGAAACGTTGGTGACGGGAAAGTCAGAAGCTGTTTGAGAGACAAAATTTATTGTAAAATGAAAATATCTCTACACTAACATGGTATAATGTTATGATTGATACAGAAACTTTATAGAAAGTAAGTATATACTATAAATATGGATATTTAGTGTTGTAAATAAGAGGCCCAAGGGCCTTAACGGTCACCTGAGTATAAGGAAACGATCCATAGATTAAAACAAAATATGCTGATAAATGAAGATATGTTGCCCAAAAGCAAGAGAAAGAGGATAATCAGGGATCAGCAAAATATTAATCTAGTACTCAATAACAAATATTAACATTGATCTATTTATTTGCCTGTGCATTCCCCCTTTGTCATTATCCTCATGCAGACTAAACAAAACCATAGTTCAAGAGCACTATTAGTTAAAACATTTCATTCCCCCTCACATTGGCCACTCTTAGTCTTTGAAGATTATTTAATGTACATAGATACAGTATTTTTGTCCCATTTTCATTTATTTATTATTTGAAATCTACCTGACCATTAAAAAATATGAAAGTACTTTTTGTATGAAATATTACAAATTTTCTTGTATAATTCTGTTATTCAATTGTCATTGACCTTTTAAAATACATTATTTACAGTGATTGACTATCATAGGTGAATAGCAAAGGGGAATAACTTCTTTCAATAGGAATTAATACATTGACCAAAGGGTACAGACTTTCAAAATCTGGTGAAAAAAAACTTGCTTGTTACAACTTTATATACTCTGTTTGCCTCCTAGATGTCCAAGAGCAGAGAACAAGATATTCAAGGAAATAATCCATTTTCACTATAGATTCAATATAGCTCCACCCTAATACCAGAACCCCTAACCAAGGGACCAATGGGATCACAATTTTGGAAGAAGCACTCTTGCTCATCACAATGCACTTAGTATGTTTCCTTAATAACGATGGGCAGAGAAGAAGATTTTCTCAGAAATGATGCATTTCTACTATATATTCAAAAGAGCCTCACCCTAACACCAAAACCCCTGACCCGGGGGTTATGAGATTCAAACTATTTGAAAAGACATCCTTGTTCATCATAACTATGCAATTAGTTTCTCTGTTATATAACCTGGGGCAGAAAAGAAGATTTTCATAAAAAAAATGCATTTCCACAATTATTCAATAGACCCCCCCCCCCCCTTGCATGTACTCCTGACTCTGGGGCCACAAATTTCACAATTTTGGAAGAGGCACCCTTGATCATTATAACCATGCACCATGTTTATCTGCTTTATACAGGGGAAAAGAAGATTTTTAAAGAATCTATGCATTTTCACTATATGATCAATAGAGCCCCGCCTAAACACCAGAAAACCTGACACAGGGGCCAAGATATTCACAATTTTCGAAGAGGCACCCTTGCTCATCATATCTCTATACTTGATTTATCTGCTAATAACCTAGGAGCAGAGAAGAAGACTTTCAAAGAAATAATACAATTTCACTATACAATCAATAGAGCCCTCCCCCCCCCCCCCTCCTGCAGAACCCCTCACCCTCGGGCCACAAATTTTACAATTTTGGAAGAGGCACCCTTGATTATCATAACCATGCACTATTTTATCTGCTTTATATACAGGGGGAGAGAAGAAGATTTTTAAAGAACTTATGAAATTTCACTAAATAATCAATAGAGCCCCACCCTAACTCCAGAACCCCTGACCCTGGGGCCATAAATTTCACAAATTTGGTAGACAGCTCAATCTTTTATTACAATCATGCCAACAGTTTGACTGCTTGATGTCCAGGAGTAAAAAAGAAGATTTTTAAAGATTGCACTCATTTTGATGGTTCTGGTCCCAACCCTAATGCCACAGGGGGGCAGGGACCATGAAATTCACAATTTTTGTTCCCCTTCACTCATAGATATTCTATGCCAAAATTGGTTGAATTGGTTCAGCGATTGCAGGAAAGAAGCTGAAAATGTTCAAATGTTACACATTTGACACATGGCGATGGATGGAAACAGAAAGCAATAGGTCACCTGAATGACTCAGGTGACCTAATATTGGAAATAAGTGGCACAAAGGCATGATTTTGGATACATGACATATGGTTTAGATAAGATTCACTGTATAATTGATTCATTTGTTTAACTTACTGTGTAAAGTTCATCCACAATAAATGTGAAAATCCACACCATGCACATGATTTCTATTTCGGTGATTTTGTAAAACTGATAGTCCACCAACAAATAATAGGTAAACAAAGCCACGAAAAATGTGTACAGGAACTGAAAAACAGAGAATATGGTCAGATACACACAGTCTAATTCTTACATCAACATCACCCACCTTAATGGACAAGGTATACATTACATTTCTAATTCAAAACACCTCATTGAAATGAATGTGATAATTGTTGAATCAAGTCAAATTGAATATGTATATATTACTATGTAATACAAATTGTATACAGTTGTTAAACAGGTCACGCTGCATGAAACTGATGAATGTATGTAACTGTAAACCAACTATTACAGTATTCATGTATGTTACTGTAAACCAACTATTACAGTATTCATGTATGTTACTGTAAACCAACTATTACAGTATTAATGTATGTTACTGTAAACCAACTATTACAGTATACATGATGTTACTGTAAACCAACTATTACAGTATTCATGTATGTTACTGTAAACCAACTATTACAGTATTCATGTATGTTACTGTAAACCAACTATTACAGTATTCATGTTACTGTAAACCAACTATTACAATATTCATGTATGTTACTGTAAACCAACTATTATAGTATTCATGTATGTTACTGTAAACCAACTATACCAGTATTCACGACATCTTTTGTTCCCAATTTGTCTGTTTGAAATCAATCCACAACTACAGTAAAACTTGTTTAGTACTAACATGGATATAGCGAATTCACAGATATAGTGAAGTTTTATTGGATCCCCAGCTATGTAAATTTTATGAATTCCTTATACAGATATAACGAATTACAGATATAACGAAGTAATTTCACAGGTCCCAATGTTATGACCGAGTTTTACTGTATTAATGTTCGCGACTGAGGAAACATTCTACACAAATACACAGGAAAATAAATGGTTATAAGTATGGCAATAAATATTTGCGAGTTAAGGGTCCTCCACACCCCGTGACTTGTGACGTATATAGAGAAAAAATGCTTTTACTTCCGGTTTTATATAGTTTGTACACTGACGATTTGACAGGCACCGCCTGTAAGAGAGTCTTGTAAACGTTTTACTTATAAAGGTTTTGCCAAAGGAAGAGTATGCAGTCAACCGAGAGCGACACCCTGATCATAAACAATGAACACATGGCATGATCACGGCGTGACCAAAAGAAGAAAAAGTGTCAATTTTTTCAATAAAAAAACAGCAGACGTTTGAGTTGTTGTAGCATGATTCGTAAATAACAGGTATATCTACTCGAAAACGTTAAAGTTTATTTATATTTCCAGGCTACTAAATCCATTGCGATATCGTCAACAAGGTCTGTAACAGACTGTTGTGAAAAGTTGATATTATTGCACACTGATTTGTGCGTTTCAATAATACCTATCTCATTGTGTGTTTATAGATATTTATAAAGTGTGCATTTCTATTTTTGCTCATTTTATATCTTCATATATATGTTCACTGATAAAATTAAGTTTTTGTGGTTGTTTTCTGGGCTTAATAATATATTCCAGGAAAACACCAAATTTGTTGTGCTACTTATCAAAACTCGGTAGGGAAAAAATCTTAAAACTTATGAAATTAAATTTAAAAAAAATCAGTATAAATTATATTTCAATTCCTGGCCAGGTTTTAAAGGTTGATATCTATACTTATAAATTAATAAATTTTGCAAATAAACTCCAAAACGGGTGCACCAGAGTTCTTAATTACTCTGCTAACAATACACTGTATACAAGATGATGTCCGTAAACTATATTTAGATTTCACTCCCATAGTATGTATCGTACATTAAATTAAAAGTCTACTTTCATTTTCTATAAACAGCCATGAAATAGGAAAAACGTGAGTACGGTGGCGTTTCCGGTTGGCGGATCTAAGTTATTGGCAATTTTTAATGAAACTGACAACAAGCAATCGTTTATTTATTTCATAAAACGTCATCACTGAATTATTCAATCAAAACTTGATTTAAATGATATAAAAGAAATATGTTGTAATACCCGATTAAAAAGGGAATGTACAAATTATTTTCGTCATTCACCGATCTTTATATTGACGGAAGCTTCTGGAACATCATATAGCACCGAGCCCAATGTTAAAAAGAAAAAAAAAAACGAGGAGATTACAGCTTCATGAACATAAAAAAGCTTTTGTGTGAATGGTCATTGAAATAATGGTAAATAATTGATAACACTATAAGTTGTGAATATATTTATATATCGAAAGACTATTACATATTTATAGTAGGTTTTCCTAATAAATTTATCAGTAACCGAGAACATCGTGGCAACGAACCCGAAGTACAATTTGTACTTCGTAATAAACTTGCTTACATGAAAAGGGAAAATTAATGAATAAGGTATTGTTCAAATACAATTAAAGCTGTAAAATTTTGTGCTTTAATCAATACATTTCAGTTTTTTTTTTTTTTGTATCAAATACTCGGCCTATTCATAGAGCGTTAAAAGCTTTTTTTTCACTGGTACTTGGGTCTTGGTTTATAAATATGTATGTACCTTATTGATATGTAAAAAAAAAAAAAAGTAAAGTACATATTTATCAACCAAGACCCAAGTACCTGTGAATCCCCCCCCCCCCCCAAAAAAATCAATTTATCAGTAAAATGTGCATATTCGCTTATTTCGCTGCTTTTATCCGCGACGGAAATGAAATAAGAGCATCTGAAGTGCAATATCCATAACATAGTATTACAGGTTTCAAAATAAATGTCAATTAATGAAATTATTTTTCAAGCTTTTACAAAAAAGGGGGGTGGGGTGGAGACAATTACATCTACTTCATGCGGGATTTTGAACAAAGTATTTCTTCCTGCTATAAGCCTGTAGGCTGTCAGTAGAAACTACAATATGTTTTCTGTCGGTAGTGGTATAAATTCAATTCCCCGCGCTTGCGCGGGATTTCATCTAGTACTTGTTAAAAGTAATGCTCAGTAATATGAAAACATAAGTTGGGGGTGTGTGGAGGACCCTTAAAGAAAGTCATGAAACTTGCTGATATTTCTAACACGCAAATAAAAGTTGGTTTACAGTATTTGAAAATGTTAAATTATACATTTATAGCAACCTTCTTATGATAAATCTGTTGAGGACACGTACCATAGAATCAAGATGAACCAGTTCTTGATGATTTGAACAAATTAATAATGCTAGTTAATGCCATTGTTAACATAAGCTAATGATTATTGGCTTGAATGAAAGGTTGTTTTAATGCTGCATTTCATTTTTGGAATAATGCTCAACATTTTAGACATTTTTCATTTTCATTTCCAACATTTATTTTTTACTTTCTGGAAACTTTTCTAGAAATAGCCAGGTTGGCTACAATACCAGTTCTAACCATGTATTAATATCATAATAATACTCTTTATTTCAAACCACATTCTCCAAGTATAGAAATGACATCTGTGCACATGCAAACAGCACTAGATAAAAGTTTTGGATGATATATAAACTGCTAGAATTATCATATTACACTTACATGTGGTCATAATAAAATCTTTATTGGTTTCTTAAAAGCTAAGCAAAATTTATTTTTGGAAATCAGTGATTCTTTTTAAGATTTTAATAATTATAAGGAAAGTCTTCTGAATCAGTTCTGCTTTATGGCCAGTAAGGTAGTTTTCTGTACTTACTGAGTGATGGGTAAACTTGGTGATGGGAGCTGTGTAAAACGTCAGGATTTTCTGGAATGTTCTTGCTGTCTTCTCCCCCATTGCATTCACCTCCAAAAATGGCGAGAATAACAGGAACGGGAAGAACACGGTCACTAGCACCTAGACATGTATAAAATGTAAAAATTCCAGACATCTGGAGTGTAGATCCAGTTCATGTATTGCTACTTTAAACTAATAGATATTTTTCGATAGACACAATTTTAGAAAGTCGCAGTTATTTCCCATTGGTTGCCATATTGGAGGTATACAAGCCTGAATTCCTTCATTATTCAACCAATTTAAACTTGTCATACTGGGAAATTGGGTAAAGATAACAATTTTTCTTACAAATTTATGTTAACACAAGCTACCTTTAATTAGCAATTTTGTATTTTAAAGACTTTTGCTTTTATGCTTTTATATTTCTGCCATACAAGTTTAAAACTGGTTGCTCAAAGAAGAATTCCATTAGTTGGACCTCCAATATGGTGGCCAAAGGGAAATAACTGCTAAATTCAGGCCTATTGAAAACTATCTATTAGCTACAGTTGTTATACAGTTGATATTTTACAATGTTTTAACAGGTAACAGTCCATCAAATTTATTAACTGATATGAAATTTTATGATAAGCAGTCTAGTGGTAGGGGGTGGAAAAGGAAAGTGTATTTCAATAGTACAGTTAATATATCAAGCATTTGTACTAAATCAGTAGGGCTTGGTATCGGCTAGGAACTTTGTATTGTGATAAATGCCATACTGCATTATTTTTTACTGTATTGCGATATGTGCTGCAATACTTTCAACAGCAGTTGAAATGATCTTTTCTTATTTTATTAACCTCCATATATAAGCAGAGATATCACTATTATAAATATGTTGTAACAAAAAAGTTTTTGTTGATTTAACTACAGTTTTGCAACAAAAAGCAACCATACAACAGCAACCTTACTGTTTGGCATGATTGAAAACATTTTTGACATCTTAAATTTCATATCTTACTTTAGAAATCCCAAGCCCAAACATTTTGCTCGGGTAAACCGATAATGAAAAAATGTATCGCAATACAATATTTTTTGTCAACAAATTGCAATATAACAGAATATCAATATTATTGCACAGCCCTATCTCTCAGAGTTCTGCAACTCAAGAATTGCAGGCAAGACAATTAATATAATTATTTTTATCTGTGGGTCTTATGAAAGTTTTTTCCCCTAATATCGATAAGATCAAAACTATCTGATCAAATTACAGGAAATCAAACTTGAATAAAATGTGATTCACAGATGTTGGGTTGATATACTAGTGACAATTATATCTGAGAAATGCTGCAAATTCTTTAATGTCAGGATGACTCTTTAATGTTCACAAAATTTTATTTCATTATTTTTTGACACTGGTTAACTGACCTTCATGTTAATGTCCACTTATTAATGAGGTTCGTTCTGAGCTTTTGAGCAGATTTTTATCTTGACCTCAATTTAAAAAAATCTGCATAATGTTTTAGTTCTTACAATAAATTTGGATTCTACAATGCTAATTAAACTATATTCAATTTAAACTCCTGTCAGACCATGATTAAATTCTTTACCGAAATCATTAAGTGAGGAACTAATGTTTTGTGGTGGAGGGTTTGTTAGAAGAAAATGATCAATTTTTCTCTTTCGAAATATTTACAGTATTGTTAAGTTTGGATTCCTATTTTTACATGCAGCCTGCACACCGACTTATTTTGTGCAGTGAAATGTTTTATGCTAGTCCTAAATAATATATTTGATTAACCGTCATGAATTCTATCATCATATTGGACAAATATAGTAAATATATTGTGAAAGTCCTGGGAAAAAATAGCCCACTTCAGGCTAAAATTAACACTATTTTAGTTATATCTCAAAATTAAAATCACAGACTCCCACTTTTAATTTTCTTTTCTATATATACAAGATAATTTTAACCATTCTGCTTAAATTCAGAAAATGTCATTACTTTTAAATGATTTTATTGCTTGTTAAATTTTTATGCTAGAAAAATGACATTTTTTGAGTGCATTAAGGTCAAATAATTGACTATGTGAAGTAATTTTGAAACATTTTTTGTTGTAACAAATTTTAAAGAGACTATTCAAGATGAAAAAAGACTGTTCGTTCCCATATTTATTTGGATAAAATATATTAGAGGAAAAACTTTTAAACATTGATTTATGTGTTAGATGTCATTACATTGCAAAAAGGTCATATTAAATGCTCCCTAGCACCAAAAGAAGCCCAATGACCCCCATTTTTGGTTTTGATTTTTAATTAAGCTATATTGTATAGATTTCAAAAATATAATTGATAAAAAAATTCCCAATATTTTTGATAACAGGATCCAACCTCCTTAAATCATGAATACAAAAGATTGTTGAATATTTTAAACACAACATTCATGTACAATTTAAATATATAGAGATTATACATGCAAATGTGTTTATACAGTAGAAATCAGTGACAAAACAAGATAATAAGTAAAAAGATATTTCAGGAAGTAAAATACTGTCTAGCAAAAGATATTGTTAAGAAACATTTTGAATGTTAGTTTTTTTCCCCTCAGGCTTTATACCAAGATTTTAACACATATATGGAAAAATGACCAACACTGAAATGTTCATACAAAATGTTATGTGAATGTATTGTTAATGAAGAGTAGTCCCCCTTTGTTCCCACAAACACTACAAATACACACTGTCAACAAAAAGCCACTCAATTTCTAATCTCCGATTTGATTTACATCATTTTGAAAAATATAGGTGGTTAAAGGAAATGAACATCAACTTTGTATTGAATGGAGGGATGGTTTTTGATGCTTTGTAACTCAATTTTTTTTGGATAGTAACCATTAATCCAAACATTTGAAAGACTGTACGTCATTTCCTTATGAGAAATCAGTTAAATTGTCGTAACACATTGTACATTTAATTCTAATAAGGCCCTGTGTTTTGTTGACAGTATGTTTACACTACATAAAGTTAGTTAGCATGACTAATTTCACAGACAAGTGCACGCCCCCTTGTTACCTTCCATCGAGAAAAAATTCCACGTCGCCATGTGGCGTCGATTGAATTTCGACATGCCACAGAGGAAAGATAAACCTTCAAATATACAAAAAAATAACAATAAGTCATCATAATTGGAATTCCTGTTTACCTGGTAGGGTTGGACTTGGATGCCTCGGTTCCAGGTGTTATCTATAGAATTTTTACATGCCACTGATGATAGGAATGCCTTCAAAATAACACTTCAAGGTGAGAACACTGGAAAAGTTATGTCATCCTTTTTTTCAATAAACATACATGTACATGTAAATGCATTCTTCCACCATCATAGACTTGGTTTGAAAAATATTTGTAATACACTGGTATGTTGGAGTTAACACAATTTCATGAAATATATGCATGTAGATCTAATAGTTGAAAATAAATATAGAAAAAAACAATCATCTAATTTTTTTATGGCTTAAATACACATTTAGATAGAAGCACAAGATAATTCATGCAAAAAGAACTTTGCCATATATTGCAAAATACCATGCACATGTATACTACCTCTTAAATCCCCCAAAACTAGACAGTTACCGGTATTTCTTAAGTAACTCTCCCCTCCCATTTTGATATACTGCCTTGTTTCACCTTATAATTTCACTTACCCTGTTCACTGCTGAAGCAGCGATCTGTAGACTTGTCATTGAACTCCAAGTTGGCGATTTCCTCTCAGCCAACATCATGGCTTTTTCTTGGTGTTTAAGGTGGCATTCATCAAGGACACTCTTAGCTAGGTGTTCAAATTCACTGAAAAGAAAGTCACTTCTTTCACAGTATCATGTATTACTTGCTCTATTGTTTTAATCAGAAAAGCACATTTTATTTGGCAAAAATTTTGATACAATTCCATGCTGTTAAATTACAGAAAAATTATATAAAGTTCACACAAAATACCCATAGGTAAGGCAAAGTCATGCAAATGACCATCCCTTATATAAGATAAAGGTTACAGATTGTGCATATGCATTTAAAAATTTTAAACAAGTTAAAAATCCTCCATTTTATGGTCATAATCAGGCATCAAAGTTTAACAGAAAAAGTATCTGAACCATCAAATTGTGTGCCACTAATTTCCTTCAGTTTGATATAACAAACAATAAAAGTGTTTAATATAAAAACTGCCTATAGACTATGACATACTCTTTGTACTCTAGGATTCTTTCCTTTAGAGCAGACTCATTACGATGGATGTGCTCCGCCATACTTCCGTAAATCCTGGAGGCTGCCACAGCACTTGTTACAGGTTCACTCCCCATCTGCCACGCAAACTTGGCCAATTTTTGTCTAAAAAATTATCAAATCTTTATTATATAGTTACATGTATTATATCACATACAAATTGGGCACGATGCCCAATTTTTTGCGAGATAGTAACAGTTTATATCTGTTATGCATTCAAATTCATTAAATCTAGGGCTATTAGGGACAGACTACCTTAAATCACTACATTACAATCAATTACCTTAACATGAGTATAGACCAAATCATCAGCTGTTTATACGGCCATTTAAACTGTCTCTGACCCCCCGTCTTGACCGGTGTAAACTTCACTCCATTAGTATCGCCCACATTGTCCTCCTCAATGTTGTGGTCATATTTGTCCATCAGAGATTCCATAAGTCGGGCGAGGTTGTCGTAAGTAAATGTTCTTGTGTGTATCGTACGATCCATCAGTTTTCGGAGATGAATGCTGTCTGTTCTTGCCAGAGACTGTTAAAAAAAATGTGTACAGATCTCTTATGCAGTGTAATGCAATCATCAAGGCTTGTATTCTTGTGGCCAATCTACAAACGTTTTTCTTCCTTTCTGTACCTTAATCTAAATAGTGCCTAGGGTTGGAAACCGGCCATTAAAGATGAAACAGTATAATATGTGCATACCAATACATGTATTTTTGAAATGATGGGATACTTTTTAATGATACCTCTCTCTTCAATATATTAAATAGAACAATGTGGTTTCAATATGTAATTATTATAGCAATAATGTATTTCTAGCTTCTGTTCTCTTGAAACCTTTTCATAAGAAACAAAAATAGATTTAGAAAATTACGGGTAAATATAGTCTGAAACGATTATGTACCATTTGATTAGATTCACAATTACGACAATTTTGAATTTGATGAACCCACTCTCAAGGTTAGGAAAATCAAGTTTTAATTAGCATTCCAAAATTTAATTAAGTAATCCTAATTGTTTATTAAAAACAAAACAGGAATTTAATTATGTAATCAAACTGTTTATTAAAAACAAAACAGTTTTAGCAAGGTCAATGTATACTTTATTGAAATTTGTACCTGACATTTATTAGTGCTCAGTATGCCTTATTTCATTAATTAATGGGGTAGTTTAACCTTACAACATTAGATTTAATCCTGTGGTTATATATTTTCTACACATGTTTACAATTCACTTTTGTTGAATGAATGCAAATGCATTAAATACATAATTTTACAGAGAAAAGGATGAAATGCCAATATGGGTACCGGTATAAATTGAAACAGTATTTTACCAGGAATTTTGAAATAACTACTCATAAAAGTACATTTACCAAGAACCTGTGTCCAACCCTAATAGGGCCTTGCATTAATAGGACTTTTCAATATGTTTTGACTACACAACTCATTACTGTAAACAGTTATTATTCAAACATGACAACTTTTATTCTTCATTCTTCAGTTTGAAATCCGACATGCACTTTTTCATGACCTAATAAGCATTTAACATAAACACACAATTAAATAAATGATTTGCAGTGAGAAATATTCACTAAAGAAGGTTATAAAAGTTCCAAATATTTCTCACACAGAGATAAAAAATGTTGATTTCCAGGCAGTATTTCATATATTGTCTATAGGAGGCAATAAGACACTGACCATTTCATATATTCCCTTCACCAAAGGACGCTTTGTTGCAAGTTTGGTTGAAAGCCCAGTGGTTCTTGAGAAGAAGCCAAAAATGTGAAAAGTTTACAGACTAATATTTGCATACTCTCTGTTTTCCCTCACTATGAACCTGCACTCATCAGTTGCGTTTATAGGGCTATAAACGCAACTTGTTCAGCTTTGAGTGCAATTTGTTTCTCACTCTCGCACAGTACAGGATACTCCACTAGTGAAATGTGTTCAAAAGTATATATATCAAATGTATTGTGAAAGGAATAAATCTTAGTTTTTAATAATATTCTCCAGAAAAAAAGAAAATTAATTCAAAATGATTAAAATTGCTGATTTATATCTTTAAAAAATAAATTTTGGTCATTGATTTAATTGTATAATAAAATGTTTTACAAATTAAAAAGAACAGCTATATCTTTAATTTTTCTGTTCATATTTATGCATAATTTGGCAAAGAACAATAACTCTTCATGCTAGGGCGTTTCACGTTCAGAGGATACGAAGTTTCTGTAATAGTACATCTATTTTTAGAACAATTTCACTCTTTAAAAAATGAATTTAAGGAACTTAAAAAACTAGTAAAACATTCTTTAGTTAAAATCAATATAAAAGCATTCTCTTTTGTCATCATACTATTTTGTTAATTTTTCTCGAAGGTTTCAATACTTTGAACAATGACGTCACAACTGCATCAAAACAAAAATTACCGAAGACGACGCGGTTTGTATGGATCCAGATAAATGTAGTTGAGAAGCAAATACCATATATATTATTTGTGATTTATTGGAGAAAGGGTTGATTAATCAGGTCTACTCATTTTATTGTCATGTTTTTTTCTTTACTGGGGACAAGCCGTCGTACCATTATGTAAGCCAGGATTTCCTCTGATATTCTTGACAACATCACAGAATGCAAATATAAGTAATAAACAATTATTCAGTGAACATGGCATTATGAATAGCAATAGCTCTGCTGGCTAGCCCGCATCATGGAATATGCCAGCAGAGCAATTGCTATTCATAACGCCATGTTCACTGAATAACGTTTACTTCTTCACAGACGGACGCCGGATACTCTTTGATCAGAAAAGCTCACTTTAGCCTTCGCTCAGGTGAGCTAAAAATATCGCACACAAATAAAAATGTTGGTTTACAGGCAGTATTTCATATATTGTTTACAGAAGGCAATAGGACACTGACCATTTCATAGAGTGTCTGCAGTCTTTCTGTGGTCAGGAACTCCTTCATCACCACATTCTGCTGTAAAATAAGGGCCACAAATTCCACCCTCTCCTCTAGTATGGCCTCCATTAAAACATCATACAAATTCTCTGAAATATTTTAGAATGAGGTATAATTAATGTAAAGATTATTCAAAACCCTTAAAATTTTTTTTCAAATAATTCTTAGGAAGAAAATACACTTATGTACTATTTTTGAAATTGAACAGACTCATGATAAACACTTTGCATCTTTAGAATTTTTTTTTTCTATTCCTGGTAACTTAATCTTTACAGAGCCTTTCTTGCCATTTTTAAAATTCTGCAAAACAAATCCTGGAATTTTCTCTCTGGAATTTAAATTTTTGGTGCCACATAAGTTACATGTGTTTGTAAGGGGTTTGTTGTATAGAGAGACGTGGCAGTCGAGTCACGCAGTGATGAGACTCTCACACCTCAGTGTGTGCATTATTTTTTGATTAACATGCTATGTCCACGATTTTATTGGACAACCCTCGTACATGCCCCGGAGTCTTACCAGTCTTCCATAGCACATCCTCCCTGAAGATTTCCTCCTGAGCTATGTCGGCCCGGTCCCAGGTCAAGGCCAGCTTCAGTTGGTTCTGCCGAATCTCAGTTGATGTGTCTCCGGCTTTAGCTGGAAATACGTAATAACCACATTTATTATCTCTCATGAAGAACAAATATTTCATTAAAAAATAGCAACTTTTTTCAGTAGATAAAGTACAAAATATAAAAGAAATTCATTATAACTGAGATCAAGTTTTGATTTAAAAAATCTACTCTAAAAAAAGGAAGAAAACATATAATTCCAAAATTATCTCTGAAAATTTCAACGATTTCAACAAGTGTAGCTTTATTTTCTTTGAAGAAAAAACTCTGATAGCAATTAGAAAATATTTCCTTTAAAATCAATAAATTTCTCTTGTGACAAATTGATACATCTATCCTAATGCTGATTCTTAAGGTTAAACATGTATATATATAGTCTCAAAACGCTTTCTGGGAATAAAAAATTTCTTTTGTTTCAAATTATGGTCCATCAACATCACGTAAATATCTTGGTGTGAAATAAGCTTTCTAACTACATTCATTACAATGGAGGTAAACAAAAGACAGAACGATGTACTGTAATTCAAATTGTGATTTTCAATAACTATACACTTTCATGTTTCAAATGACATATAAAAGTTTGTTTCAATTGAGAATGCATGCTTAATCTGTATACATACAGTTCAGTAATGCAGTGAGAATGGCAATGTCCAAATCCTCATGTTTGTTCATCGGAAAAATGTTGATCTGAAACCATGACAACATAATATAAGAACAAAACTGTATGAAATACATTGAATTTTCATTACGAATTAAAAAAATTTGAATGTAAAGCTATTGTTTGTAAATTATTAAGATGATGACTTTAACGAAGGAATCTTTACCAAATAGGATTTGATTTAAAACCAGGCCCCAAGAATATAAACTGAAAACAGACTTAAGTCAAAGTTTCAAATTTTTATAACTTTTGAAATAATCAAGAAAATAAGACCACATTTTCATTGAGTGTTTCTGTTTGAAAATTTTACACACATGCAACTTTTCAAACATGTCTCTTGAATTAAATTGAAGATACTGTATACAGGGAAAGAGCTAGGTTCACTTTACGCATAAAATGGCCCAATTTATGGCAAACACTCTATGTTCCATTTCAAACATCAAGATAAAGTAGAGACTTAGTGCTTTCACTTCCTATTAGAATTTTTCTCCTGAAAGTTTAGGGATTGGAAAACAGGCTTTATGCAATTGTAATATTGTTGAATTTTATGGAAAACCTGCATATTTGAGTACTTTCAGAGAAGAAAAATAATATGAGCACACTCCTTGATCCAAAAAATAAAACTTGTTTTGTAATCCTCAGAAACAGTTCTATCATTTATTAATTGTATATCATAGATCAGAGGTTGCGCTCTAAATGAAATATCGAAAAATAGCTTAAAAGATTGACTGTTTTTGTAGATTTTTTTCCGAATATGCTGAAAATGATGCAATTCATGACATCATAATGCATTTACTAGCCAGAAAATTACGTCAATTTTAATAGATGCACAGTCAATAATGGTCTAAATGATATTTAATGCACTGTCAACTCAAACTAAGCAGTTTCACTTTTTCAGAAATTCAAAGGGCCAAAAAAGGCCCTAAGTGAATCTTGTTCTTTTCGCCCCCATTTTATTTTCGCCCCTTTTGCCCTAATCACAGGTGGGCAAATTTAAAATGGGAGGAATTCAAAGAACACAGTATAACTGTGAACGGGCGAATCTATAACGGGGGCAAAATTGTTCACAAGTGCAAAAGGGCAAAAATAACATGGGGCAAAAATAACCCTGTATACAGTATTCAAAACCTAAAATATAGATCTATAAGTACCAAGTCTCTATGCTCCATGCATTTCTTTACATTCCTCAAATGTTTCTCTAGATTTTCCTCAATATCCTTCTCCTTCCATCTCTCTCCATAAGCATCAAATATTTTCTCCTTCAACTTCTCTTCATGTTTGGGTTTCAGTTCTCCTTTACTGTGTAAAAATTTGTAAAATTAATTAAACATGAACTGCACCTCTTGTATTTGGGTGAATTAAAAAAAAATGACCACCAAACTGAATTTTTTTGCAAAAATTCAGCTACTTCTAACATATTTTTCACTTATATCATCATATTGCACATGCATTCTAGTTTAAAATCCTGAAGTGGCAATAGAATAGACAATTGGATTAAAAAGTTTCAGAATTTTTATTAGTAAAATTTCTTTTGAAAAAAGAAAATATCATTACACCTTAAAAGACTTTCTAAAATACATAATAACAAGAAATTATAGTTTTTTAGCTTCAAAATGGTAAAAGGAGTATAAATGATCAAATCTAGACCTTGATTGAGTATCTTCTCTTGTATGTGTGACAAAAAATTGGCTTTTTGATTGTTATTTTACATTATTTTTTCAATTCTGGTTTGAGAAGTTTTAATAAGAAAAAAATATGAAGCAATAAAATTCCCCAAATTTCACTTTTTTGTCCGTTCAAGCCAATTCTTTAAATCTAAGCCAAAAAAGAATTTTTATATACGAGTTCTCTTACAAAAAATACTAGATTTTGAAGTGACCCTATGTTACATTATTGTGTTGCACTCCTGACATCTGATACGTATTTTATTTAACATTGTTTTAAAAATTATTACACACAATAACCCATTCTTTTTTTGTAAATTAATTTGTCGTTTTGATATTTTTCATCGTTTACGGCAGGTTTTTCATATTTTGAAGACCTTAACACATGATTATTTGCAAAGTGTAATATACATAAATTGTATATAAAACTATATGTGAAATGATGAAAACTATTCCCTGAATTGACTAGAAAATTTCTGTAATTTGTTGATAGACATAGTGTTTTGAACATCAAATAGTATCAAACATTTTTTTCAACTCATTCTTTTAGTAAAGATAATTAAAAAGCATTGGTAATTACAAAGCAGTTTTGTTGCACTCCTGACTGCAGTAAAATTTAAAATTAAAATCGTAGAACACAAAAATTCATAAAGTGTTGGCAACATCAAGTGGTAATGAAACTGTGCAATGTTTGTAGTCCAATACTTCATAATTAAAACAGATGAAAGTATTTAAAATTCGCATTTTATCTGGAATTATTCTCTATTTATGCCAAAAAACTAGCTTAAATGTATATTTAGAAGATAAAATATATTTTATAGCATATTTTCCTTTAGAGGACAAACACAGTAACCCACCAGAAAAATTCTACTCATCATTTTTTCTTTATTTTTATTCTTATTGGAGGATTTATAATTCTAACATATTTGTTGCACTCCTGACCAAAAGTATTGGGACCTTTAAAGTAGAATTGTGAAGTGAAAATTACGTAAGAACTTGTTCTGTTGTTTCAGTGAAGTTGAGGAGGAATTACTTGAATTTTATGACAATGTTTTAGTGTGTTTATTTTTAATATTCATTAAAAAAATCACAAAAAAGATAAAAACACATCTGAATTGATAAAATTGAAAAAGGAAGGATTTTAATAATAAAACTGTCAATAATTTGGTATTAAATTATACAAAAAGATCATTATTAATTAATGAATACGTCTAAGCATGAATAGAAGTGTTTTTGTCACACAACTTGAATCTTTAAAAAAATGTGTTGCACTCCTGACCATAGAAATATGGATCTGAAGCACAGACAGTACCTGTAATTGATAAATCTATTTGGTAAAAATGTTCTTTGTGTCTTTCTTTTCCAAAATAAAAATCAGAAAATCATATAAAGATAACAGTTTTTTCATGCTTGGGAGCAAAACATCAAATGTTGCACTCCTGACATTATTGGGTATGCACATATACTTGACTCTAATTAATGCTGCTTGTGATTTATATAACATTTTTAAGTTTTAAAATGTCTATCAGTTATTGTTTTACACTTCGAAAATTCTTTTTTGTCTTAATTTTCTTCCAGAATTTTACAATTGATGTTTTTTTGGCAACACTACATTTTTTCTGTTGCACTCCTGACATGGTATGACATTTTTTTAAACATCAGCCATGACAACAACTTGATTAAACAAAAATTACTACTGCCCACATTTAAAGCTCAATACTTTGAATATTATCAGGAAAGTCTTTATTTTCAACATAAAGCATTATTATTTATTGCACAGATCTCCAAAAAATATTGAAATTTCAAAATGTCACAAAAAGGTGTTGCACTCCTGACAATTTTAGCATCATTTTTGGGCATAACTTTTTTGTTAATTGAGATATCAATAAGATATTTGGCAGGTATTTAGACACTATCTAAAGACATATGCTGAGACATAGAAATCTATTTTCATTGCCTGTATTTTTAGTGTGGGTTGATAAATATGCGTTTGGTCATTTTTTTTGAATTCACCCATTTGTCAGCTTATAGTCCATTTTTAAAATAGTTAAACAAAGTGATGCAGGTACTGTAATATTCATCCAATGTATTTAATATACATTTAGTAGCTAGTTATATGTTCATTTTCAGTATAAGTGTATCATTTAATTTATTTACATGTAAACATCATCATTTTTTTATCCGCTATTAATTAACAAACTTTTTCTTTATTCTTAAAAAAGGCAGCATTTTCTTTCCATAGCACATGGTTTATAATCAAGAATGAAGCATTTTAATTTTGACCCAAGACGTACTAAATAACAAGGATTTCTTAATACGTACATGTCAATTTTAAGAGATATTTTCTGGAAATTTTTTAGGGGACTTACAAACTTCAAAAAGTATGCACAGATTACAACTCAAGCACATATCACACTGTGACATAATTCAAGTAATTAGCATGAACTGAATGACAAGATGCAGACATATTCTAATCTAATTTAAATACATTTGGGCTTACCCTGTTAAGCTAGTGGTACAATGTACATGTGTGTAAATTAAGATATGCTCGTTATTTATGAATCTTAATTATGGCCGTGTACATGGAATATAATGCTTTCTATGTCTCAATGTTGATGAATTTGTGCATTACAAAATTTTAATGTTTCAAACAAGCTTGAGGCCAAAAAAACACAAGCACTGCAGCATTTCTTGCAATGGCTTTTCATTGTTAAAAAGATGAAAAAAAACAGAAGTCTAGAAATGAGGTTTATGGATAAAAAAACAAACATGTCACACCAAGCTGCTGTTATTAACTGAGAGAATGGCACACTAGCACTAACAAAAACATGGCGTCTTAGTTACCGGTCACTGTGAATTTTGGTATCATGATGTCTACAGAAATAATTTATAGTCAAATTATCTTCAGTTATTTTTTGAATTCAATATTGTCATTTTGTAAAAACCAGAATGTATCTTAGACTTAGGGAAAATTGTTTATTGAGCTAGTTAAGTATTAGACATAGTTCATCAGAAGTATGATGAAATGTACAGCAGTTAAGAGTTATCATCCACTATATACCATTTCAAGAAAAATACATGTATGTAATATATATATATTAAATAAGATGATACAAATATTAACCAGTTAGTTAGTAGACAGATATAGCCATGCAGAACTTATACCTTGGTTATACACTGTACATAGTATTACATAGTTGACACCAAACATTTAGAATCTTCCAAATAACAGTGTTTTGATGTTTAAGAGAAACTTTCAAAGGGAGATAAATCTTACTTGCTGCGAGTGTGAGAGTAGGCATATGCTAATATGTCTGCTGCTCGTCCAGTTCCAGAGCAGACAACGACAGGAATTTTGTGTTCTAGGGTCACCATTGCATCATGGATGGCATCTGTCCCTCCCTCCAAGATCACCAAAACAACGGGAATACCTAAACCTCCGGCTAAAAATCAATAAAAAGTTGAAATCATCTGACATTTTTTACTACAAACCTGAATAAATTTTGGAGACATACACTTAAAAAAAACATTTGTATCAAAAGAGAAGGGTTTTTTTTGTATAACAAAGTACATCCCATCACTGCAAGCCACAGGTTTTTTACAATGTCCATTCTGTTTGTAGAACTAGAATGGACACAAATTTTTGTGGCTTACCACGATTACATCCAGTACTTAACAACAGCAATTTAGACAAATCGGGAAAATCAATGTGTCAGTGTACATATGAGAGAATTGTCTACCTTCTGTAGGCTTGGAGACTTTCTGTTCAAACTGAGCCCTGAACTCTGAGGCCCCGGTGTATGTGTTCCTGACTCCGTCATCAACAAACACAAAGTGGGTGTGGTTAGGATTTAGGGGGACAGGTTTTCCATGAATAATAACATTACTGGTCTTAAAATGCACTGGAAAACGACCCTAGAATTAGCAATTAATTATTCAAATTATATGTAAATTCAATGTATAATTTCTAATAAGTACATCACAATATTTTTGTATCTTGAAAATTAGATACAAAATAACACTACTTCAATAAAATATCTATTCAATACAATATAGAAGTGGATAAAGTTCTAAAAATTAATTTTGGAACCCAAATAACATGTTTCCAATATTCTACATAAATATATTTCAAACAATCATGTAAACAAATTGGGTTTAACTTCAAATTACAAGGTCAGTCAAAGCAAACTTTTCAAACTTTTCTTTTCTATGTAACAAAAAACAAGACATACATTGTAATATAGGGTTTTGGGAACATGAATTCAAATACTACACTAATATGAAGTGAAGGGACAACAAGAATTAGTCTATTTTAACTTCTTTTATTACCTAGAGAGAAAGAGAGAGAGAGAGAGAGAGAAGGCCAATAGGAGAAAGAGGACAACACAGTGTCTTTCATTTTTGATGACTTACATTTCCATCACTCTCCAGCTCTTTTCTGTTGTTCACATATCCCCAGGGCCCGATTCCAATCAGGCGCAGCGTGTGGGTGATTCTGTCATTATCCCACAGGAAGGACTGACCCTCACTGACAGCATTACCAACAGCCTTCATCACTCCGACATTTGACCCTGTCGTGATCAGCCACGCGTTAGTCGTCTTTGCAGCCTGGAATACAACAAAATTCAAAGTCAACTAGAGCAATGAAGAATAAATGTATGTACTTAAAGAAATCTGGTGAGACATTAAAACCATTTGTCAATATTATGGAAATCATATTCAACTGTAGTAAATTTAGGTTTTCCGGAGATGAATTATTAACGAATTGTTGTTCATTTTGTAACAATAGCTCAATAGCTTGAACAGGTAGGAAATACTTAAAGGTAGGTTTTAAAAAGTGGAGAAGGAAAATTTAGGGGTTACAAAAGAGTATAGGAGACCTGACACTTCTGGATATAAACTACTGGAAAATCTCCATTGTACGGCCACCTTAACTCATGTAGGGCACAAAGTTTCAAAAGATGGGAAGGTACAATGTATAAGAGAAAAAATGTACAAAGTTTGGGGTAAGGAAAGAGACTGTTCATAATCTGCATGATGGAAGGTGGTGTATGTAGATGTAAATGGTTGAAATTGGACATAAAAAGGGAAGTGTGTGGGGGTTGGGGTGGGGGGTGTTACCTTGATAAGACCAGTATTGAAAGTTTCTCTCATTTTGTTGTCCAGTTTGAAGCTTTTTGCCCCTCCTATCACAGAGATACACAGACTGGGGGGTTTAGGCTCCATTATCTTCCAATGCTTCTCCATCAGCTCCAGACATTTGTCCACAGAATCCTTGTGACTCAGTCGAACATACTAAAAAATAAACGTAGGAATTGTCAATCAAATAACCTCAGGGATATTAAAAAAATACACTTGTAATTTTATATTTCTTAGAGTTTAACAGTGACCTCAGTTTTTTTTTTTTTAATTATGATAATAAAAATCTACATCTTTACCATGATTTATTTTTTTTATTACTAGAGATTAAAGGAAAGCCTTACCTTTGCAGGTTTAGATCCCCCTAACTGGTTATCATTGTTTACAAAACTTATTTTCCCAAATGTCGTACAAATATTCTCCCGAAAAGCTTCCTCTTTGCTCCACGGAATTACAGGTATATTATTTGGTGGGGCTTTGAAGAGTGTTTCTCGGTTTATTATGCTTCGCAATTCTACAAAAACAAGGCACCAACATGTAAACTGGTATTGTTACAATTCTCTGTATTTTTTTCATAAAAACAACACAAAATCGTCAGAATGCATAACTGTTTCCGAAGACCATGCAAAGTTGAGATACCTTTTCAATGAAGATGAACCTATTTTTGTCTTAGTAATTATCAATTAAAGTGTCTACATACTACTGTCTGGGATAAGATAAGCCTCCACGATATCTCTCTGCACACTATTCATTGGTTGAGTATGAGATAGTCCAGCATGCTCTGACAAAACCTCTCCACAATGGCACCTTGTAATGACACAATTAAGACAAATTCTCATACCTATATTAAATTGATAATGTAGTAATGATTGCTATATACTGTAAACCAACTTTTATTCGCCAGCAAGAAATAATCACGATTTTTGCGACCTACTAAAACTTGCAAATATTAATCACCGCAAACCAATGATTTTGCTTTGTATTTGTATAGAATGATTCCTCAGTCGAGAAAATTAATTGTAGTGGATTTATTTCAAACTGATGATTCGCGAATAAAAGATGTTGTGAATAATAGTTGGTTCACAGTTTAAAGATGACATTTTTTTTTTAAGTCTCCTTAGTTCAGTTTTAACTACAACATCCCATCTTTTTTTCAGACTTAATTACTAATTAATGTTTGCTCTTTATACTCAGACTTACTTTAAATCCCTTATTTTCTTGACTGAGGTTTGGTTTGGTTTTGGCACAAATTTACTGCATTCTATTTGTCGAAAATGCTGCTTTACAAACGTAATATGTTCTTGTTTCCGCTGAAAAAAAAAAAAAAATCAATATTCATCATATAAATTTGAATGACTTTTCTTCTAAAAAGGTCTTGCCAAAGAATGATTCTGAGTACTTAAACAATCAAATATTAAAAGAAGAAATAAAAATTATGTTTTGATGTGTCTTTCTCTTCTATTTAATATTTATTAAAACAGCTCAACCTGACTTACTAATTATTTGAACAAAATTAATATACCTTCTGAAATTCTAAATCCTGGTCCTGTTTATTAATGCGATCCTTGGGAATCCGACCCAATCCCGGTATCTTTTTGCGCATTTCTGAGTAACGAGCCTCCTCGAGTGTAAGCGATGTCTGAACATCATAGAATCTCTCTTGTTGGTATCTCTTATAGTCCGGCATTGAGGAGGAAGCAGCACCTCCTTGGTCCGGGGAAAAGGTGACCTGATCATATCTATCTGAAGGGTATATCTTTGTGTCCAACCCAACACCTGCCATTTTTCTTCAAACCTGAGAAGCCACAACAACTTTCAACATAAAACCTGGAAAGCTGAATCAAAAATTATGTAGATTAATAAAAGGCAAACAAGACTTACAAAAATTGGAAATATATACTTACAGTTTTGCATTTGATAAACTTAGTTTGTGAATCTTAAACAACTTTTACATGTAGCTATACTTTCATATATAAAAGTAAATGCCGATTATTTTACAAATAAGATTCAATATTACAGTGAGTGAGTGAAGCAAGTGGCACAAAGCACCGCTCACACTGCCAGCTCTTAAGCAACATCTGGGTGAAGAGAAAATTTGGACAGTGAAAATTGATCCAATTGAATTTTTTCTTCAGTAACCATTGGACCCACAATGCACCACAAATACATGTAGACTGTTTTCAATAACTGTGGTACTGCTCTTAATTGGGTTCGTGTTCTCCCAATAACCAAAGAAAAGGTCACAAATAAATTTGTAACTCACCTTTCTTTCATGAAAATTGCAGATATAAAGTAGATTAAATCCTCTTTGTTCAATATTCACCCTTTTTAGAATTTGTTACAGAAATGCAACTATCATATTCAATGTCATGTGATGTCACAATCTTGACCTCCCAAATAAACAGGGGGATCTAAGTCTTAAAACTATATACACTTGGTATCCAGTAATTTATACAGACATATTACTGCACTCAGTCCATCTCTCACAATTACATGGTCATCTTTTTCTAAATTTGCAGATCTTTTTGTTTGAAAAATTTGGTCAATGGAGCCATGCAGTGAACTGTGTAGAAATTTTATCAGGGCCAGCACAATCCCTTGAATTAGCTATATAGCTTTATTAAGCTTTTCAAAATAGCTTGATAAACTAACACTATTTAACACAGTTTTTCACAAATATTTTTTTTATAAGACATAGGCAAAAAGTTGCAAGTACGTGACAACTCAGATTTGTACTATGGACTTATTTAAAAAGCAATCCAAATCAAACATCATTTAAACTTTGCTGCTTTTGAACACTATTATGCAAAAGATTTATTTCCGTTAATTGGTCAGTTTGTTGGTTAACTGCATACCACCTTGTGTGGGGTGAAACATGGATAAGTATGATTACTTTATATTGTGCTGAATTATACAGTATTATATTACCATTATTTATCTTGTTGACCATAACTGACCTCCTTTAAAAATTCATTCAAGAAGTAACTGTGTGGTCACAAATCAATTGCTTTATACAGGCCCAAAAACTTCAAGAATTTTGAGTAGAGTGTTTCTTAAGGAGACGCAATTTGATGAATGATTTTTTTTTCAGAAGAGTTCAAAGCTGAAAACTTTCACTGCACCTAAGTTCGACCATTTTTACATGCCGAGAAAATTGCACATAGAGAAAAATGCATGATAAAATATCTAAATCAAGGTATTTTGAATAGCACAATCAAGCTACTTAGCTAAATCGAGCTATATAGCCGAATCAAAAAATTGTCTGCAACACTTTCCCTACTCAGAATACTCAAATAGAGGGTGGGGTTCTGTAGACACTGAGCTGACCTCTATAACCTGAATGAGAGCGATGCTTTCTTAATGAAAATAAAATTCACTAATTTTTTACCTCAACCTGTCAAGATGGCATAGTTCTTGTTAATCTATTATGGCACAACCTTTCGATTCTTCGCCATTTTCTTAATCCATGCTAACCGGAAGTTTATTATGCTGCCATGACACCATTGTTTACAACTGTATTTCTGAAATAATATGATGATTTCCTGAATAGACTCCCATTCAATTATTTTTTTCATAGAAACAGGCAATATAGACAACCAAGTTTTGAGCCTTTCAATATCAAATATCGAGAAATACGCAACTCAATCAAACAGGTACTATCTATATAATAATAAAAACCAAAAGCCGGAGTAGGAAATCCCGAAAAAATAGTTCGATAAGTGTCGCGATTTATAATAATCACTGTTGAAAAAAGTATTTAAACCAATAATTTCATAATATAATATCATCTTTTTTTCAAGAACAACTCTTTCTACTAGAAAAAAATGATCATCATTGATCACATCACATATCAACAGACAGATTAATAATTCGGATATTTCTAGCTTTCTGGATTGGCCGTACGGTGGCTGGCATAGGACACAGGCACTTGATGTTTAATATTTTTCTTATTAAAAAAAAAAAAAACATAACCCCATATTCTTTTTAATAAGAAAAATATGCAACGTCAAGTGCCTGAGAGGACACTTATGAGACTTTTTTTTACTAATTCGTGGGAACGAAATAAAATTCGTGGACACGAAGTGAAATTCGTGGCCACGAAATAAAATTCTGTAAAAAAAAAAGTTATTTCACCTGCATCCGACTTCTACTCAGGTGAACAAAACATGATCAGGCACGTACTATTAGAAGGGGGGGGCAGGGGGCCTACCCCTTTTTTTCAAAATGTAATTATTTTTCTGTTAATAAAATTAGTACGAAAATGTTCATTGAAAGGCTGGTTGCCCCCCCCCCCCTTATAAAAATCCTGTATATAGTCAAATCACTACTCATGAATCTGTTCATGGACCCTAACCCCCTAAATAAGATTTCGGAGTTTGGAGAATTTTCGATGAATATTGTACTCCTTAGATGGCTAAATCGTCGTATTGACTGAATGTATAATATTCATAAGAAATTATAAAACCTTTATACATCATAATGATATGAATAGACAAATGTAGGAACATATATTTGTAATGTACACGTATAATTAGCAGAGCCTTACACCCCCCCCCCCCCACAAACCAACAAAAACAGACCACAACAACTGAGGGAACAAACAACAATCGCAAAAATTGTTTCTTCCTGAAAGACTTTAGAAAAAGAGTAAAGCTTGTTTAGCTAATCGATTTACGAAGCCATCTTTGAGATGAGTCCTCTCTAGATGTAATTGTATTGTAATTTGACAGACCACTGTTAAAACTGATGCATTCAAATTATATAATATTTATCATTAACGAATGGTAAAAGTCCAGTATGATGCAGCGATCTGTGCTATGTTATCATTATTGAATTTCATTGGAGAAGTTATTAAACCCTGCTTTTTAGCTCACCTGAGCCCGAAGCCTCAAATGAGCTTTTCTGACCGAAATTTGTCCGTTGTCTGTCGTTGTCATCGTCGTTGTTGTTGTCGTTGTAAACTTTTCACATTTTCATCTTCTTCTCAAGAACCACAGGGCCAATTTCAACCAAACTTGCCACAAAGTATTCTTGGGTAAAGGGGATTCAAGTTTGTTCAAATAAAGGGCCACTCCTTCTTCCAAGGGGAAACAATTACGAATTTGTGAAGAATTAATGCCATCATTTAAAAAATCTTTTTCTCAAGAACCTCTGTGCTAGAAAATATGAACTTATGTGGAGGCATCCTCAGGTAGTATAGATTCAGGTTTGTTCAAATCATGACCCCCGGGGGTATGGTGGGGCCACAATGAGTGATCAAAGTTTTAAATAGGAACACATAGAAAAAAAAAATCTTTAAAAATCTCCTCAAGAACAACAAAGCCATAATTAGTCATATTTATATGGAAGCATCCTCAGGTAGTGTGGAATAATGTTTGTTCAAATCATGACCCCGAGGGGTAGGGCGGGGCCTCAATGGGCGATCAAAGTTTTGCATAGGAATACACAGGAAAACATCTTTAAAAATCTCAAGAACAACAAAGCCTGGATTAGCCATATTTATATGTAAGCATCCTCGGTAGTGTACACTCAAATTTGTTCAAATCATGACCCCCCCCCCCTCCCAGGAGTATAGAGGGACCAGAACAGGGGATCATAGTTAAACAAAGGAATATAAAGGATATATCAATAAAAAATTCTTCTTAAGAACATTATATGTCATATTAATTCAAAAGCATCCTTAGGAAGTGTAGATTCAAGTTCATTCAAATCATACCCCCACCCCACCCCACCCCACCCCCCCACACACACACAAAGAACCACTTTTATATTTAAACTTTTCAATACTGAACTGATTTTACCCACCAAAGTGCTCAGGTGAGTGATGTGGCCCCTGGGTTTCTTGTTTATCAGCTGACGACAGAGATAAATACTGACAAATTCATCTCTAGAATATCTAAATAAAGTGGAGAATAGAAAGGACATGTCAGTGCCAGGTTTTGCAGGGAACACATCCAGTAAGTAAAATACGTTTTCATCAGTTTGTTTTTGTTATATCATTTTAAATTTTGTTCGATTGTGATTTGAAAAAAATAGAGAAGAAGATTTTTCAATCCCCCCCCCCCATTTTTGCTTTTTCTTGATAATATCCCCTTGAGAGGGGGAGGGGGCACTTGGCCCTTCCTCATTTACACATTTTTTTTTTTCAAATTCTCCTTTAACAAAGGATGCCTTGTGCCAACCTTGATTAAAATTGGCCCAGTGGTTCTTGAGATGAAGATAACAAACAGTAATCATGATCAAACTCCAAATAAACAATACAAATAAACAATAAATAAACAATACAAATAAACAATACAAATAAACAATACAAATAAACAATAAATAAACAATACAAATAAACAATAAATAAACAATACAAATAAACAATACAAATAAACAATACAAATAAACAATAAATAAACAATACAAATAAACAATACAAATAAACAATACAAATAAACAATAAATAAACAATACAAATAAACAATAAATAAACAATACAAATAAACAATACAAATAAACAATACAAATAAACAATAAATAAACAATACAAATAAACAATACAAATAAACAATAAATAAACAATACAAATAAACAATAAATAAACAATACAAATAAACAATACAAATAAACAATAAATAAACAATACAATAAACAATACAAATAAACAATAAATAAACAATACAATAAACAATACAAATAAACAATACAAATAAACAATACAATAAACAATACAAATAAACAATACAAATAAACAATACAATAAACAATACAAATAAACAATACAAATAAACAATACAGATAAACAATACAAATAAACAATACAGATAAGCAATACAGATAAACAATACAAATAAACAATACAATAAACAATACAAATAAACAATACAAATAAACAATACAATAAACAATACAAATAAACAATACAAATAAACAATACAATAAACAATACAAATAAACAATACAAATAAACAATACAGATAAACAATACAAATAAACAATACAGATAAGCAATACAGATAAACAATACAAATAAACAATACAGATAAACAATACAAATAAACAATACAAATAAACAATACAAATAAACAATAAATAAACAATACAATAAACAATACAAATAAACAATACAGATAAACAATACAGATAAACAATACCAATAAACAATACAAATAAACAATAAATAAACAATACAAATAAACAATACAAATAAACAATACAGATAAACAATACAAATAAACAATACAGATAAACAATACAGATAAACAATACAAATAAACAATACAAATAAACAATAAATAAACAATACAATAAACAATACAAATAAACAATACAAATAAACAATACAATAAACAATACAAATAAACAATACAAATAAACAATACAGATAAACAATACAAATAAACAATACAAATAAACAATAAATAAACAATACAATAAACAATACAAATAAACAATACAAATAAACAATACAATAAACAATACAAATAAACAATACAAATAAACAATACAGATAAACAATACAAATAAACAATACATATAAACAATACAGATAAACAATACAAATAAACAATACAGATAAACAATACAAATAAACAATACAAATAAACAATACAAATAAACAATAAATAAACAATACAATAAACAATACAAATAAACAATACAAATAAACAATACAGATAAACAATACAGATAAACAATACAAATAAACAATACAAATAAACAATACAGATAAACAATACAGATAAACAATACAAATAAACAATACAGATAAACAATACAAATAAACAATACAAATAAACAATACCAATAAACAATAAATAAACAATACCAATAAACAATACAAATAAACAATACAAATGAACAATACAAATAAACAATACAAATAAACAATACCAATAAACAATAAATAAACAATACCAATAAACAATACCAATAAACAATACCAATAAACAATACCAATGAACAATACAAATGAACAATACAAATAAGCAATACAAATAAACAATATGAATAAACAATACCAATAAACAATACCAATAAATAATACAAATAAACAATACAAATAAACAAATAAACAATACAGATAAACAATACAAATAAACAATACAAATAAATAATACAAATAAACAATACCAATAAACAATACAAATAAACAATTCAAATGAACAATACAAATGAACAATACAAATAAACATTACCAATAAACAATACAAATGAACACTACCAATAAACAATACCGATAAACAATACAGATAAACAATACAAATAAACAATACCAATAAACAATACCAATAAACAATACAAATAAACAATACAATAAACAATACAAATGAACAATACAAATGAACAATACAAATAAACAATACAAATAAACAATACAATAAACAATACAAATAAACAATACAAATAAACAATACAAATAAACAATACAATAAACAATACAAATGAACAATACAAATGAACAATACAAATAAACAATACCAATAAACAATACAAATGAACAATACAAATAAACAATACAAATGAACAATACAAATAAACAATACAAATTAAGAGCAGAGCAAACATGGACTCCTGAAAACTTCAGAGGTGGGATCAAGCGCAGTGGAGGAGCAAGAATCCCTTGTCGACCGGTAACACCAGCCCTTTGTTTTGAGTGGAAATAATATCCCAACAATTTGTATTAAAAACAGACATATCCTATTACCAACCTCTATATTTTATCCACCTCTTAACCTTTATAGTCGTCTGTACAGACATCCGACAAAAAAATCAAAACAAGCGAGATTATTGGTCTGTACAGACGACTATAAGGGTTAGGAGGTGGATAAAAAATACAGGTTGGTTATATAATGTCTGGAATTTTGAAATGAAAGATAGTTGATTGACTAATGCTGTAAAGTGGAGAAACACATCCGGCGCCGTAAATTGCATTTGGATCGGTAGCGTTATTTTCGAAGACTAAAATGTAGAACCATAATGCTACAGCTCTACAGCTAGTTTCCTAGTGATAAAGTATCAAGATTGTCAATACAAGATTTGTTTTTTAGGTTGTTTTTTTTTTTCGGGAGACACTATGAATTCAAATCAATCTTAGGGATTATTAATTTTGATAGACATTGGTAAGCTCCATCATTGTGTTCCACATATATAAGCGCTTATTGCTTCATCATCCAATTGCCAAGGTTGAAATCGTCCATACCCATAAGTGGACTCAGGTTACCGGTATCACCGGCAAATATCGATAAATATATTACAATTTTTAAACTTGAAATATGGTTCTTAAAATGACACAAGGTTTAGCTTAATTTGAGCTAAGTACTCTACTATCTTTCAAAAATTCTTTAATTCTTCATTTATGATTACTTAAAGAGACAATGCGACGGACAAACGGTAAAATTGACAAAAATAGAATTGTTGAAAGACAAATGCAAATTTATTCAATTCTTGAAAGTATTGGCTTTCAGAAAATTACAGGTTTCAGAACCTACTTTTATTGAAAAAAAATATAAGTAAAAATAATTTTAGTTTGCCCCAACACGAAAACATATCCCTTACCAAACTGCTATGTTTGCTGCAGACCTGCAGCAAGTCTGCTGCAAGTTTGCAGCAAACAAAATTGTTTGCAGGAAGAAACTTTTCTTGTTCGCAGATGATTGCCGCTAGCTGCGATCTTGCGGCAAACATTGCAGCAATTGCTGTAAGCTTGCAGCAAATTCGCAGGAACTCAACATGTTTGCAGGAACATTGCAAGAAACATACACGCCAATCTGTTGTTCGCAGCAAGTTCGCAGGAAACATTTAACAAATTGAATGTTTGCAGGAAGTTTGCAAGAACAGTAAACAAGTCAAATCAGCCAATGAAATGCAGATTGTACTGGGGTCAACACAGAATTCGCCATTTTGAAATGTTTGAATTGAAGTGTAGATGTTTCAGTATTTTGTTAGGAATACTTCCCATTTTGAACATGTTGAATGATTACAAAAGCAAAATTCTGAATGTAGGTGTATATTGGCATACACAACATCTCATTGGTAAGATCTGATTTTGTTTTATTTTGATATGAAACAATTATCTCTTTAAAGCATGTTCAAGTAACATGTACTTCCTAGGTCAAATCTTAATCTATTTATGAATTTTAATCTTTATTCTAATATCACAATTGTATGTTTCTTTAAATGTATTAAAAGTTCCAAATCAACTATTATAAATGTTTATATGTTTTCAAATAAATTAGTATTAACCGTAAAATTTTATTGTTAAAGGAATGTGCGAAGTTTTTAATTTTCTGTACTTGTCAAAAAAATTATATTTTTTATTAAGAATAGAATGTGAACATTGTCAAGGAACATAAAAAGAGACTATCAACACTTCAGAAACTAGCTTGCATCATTTCAGACACATGTGGTGGATTTTCTCTATAGTTAACTTCAAGAGATTAAGGTCAGGACAAAGGCTTTCTGCGAACTTGCTGCTTGTACGCAGGAATGTGCCAAATACAATCATTATATTCCTTGCCGCAAGTTAGCAGCAATGTTTGCTGCAAGCTTGCAGCAATGTTTGCCACAAGCTTGCAGCAATGTTTGCCGCAAGCTTGCAGCAATGATTGCCGCAAGCTTGCAGCAAGGTTTCCATATTTGGAAAATCCAGTGTTTGCTGCAGACTTGCAGCAAACCTCATTTGCATGGTAAAATGTTTGCTGCAAGCTTGCTGCATACTTGCCGCAAACTTGCTGCAAACCCAAAGGCTTTGTATAGGCTGCCATGGTTTACTTAGCTTCATTGCAGCAAGCTTGCAGCAATGTCTGCAGCAAGTTTGCAGCAATGTTTGCTGCAGACTTGCAGCAAATGTTTGCAGGAAGGCAATATTTTTGGTAAGGGATAGGCGTCGGAACCGGGGGGGGGGGCAAGGGGGGCTTAGCCCCCCTCCACTTTCTTTTCAAAGATAGGCATAATATAGGTGTTGAAAATTGGGGCTTACCTTTTTCCTTTGGTTTAGCCCCCCACCACTTTCAATTTGCTTCCGACGCCTATGGAAAATACTGCTTCACTTCTTCCTCTTTAAGGTATGCATGCACAGAAAAGTTGAAGAAGTTACCATGGTGTCAATTCCATAAATAAAAATGTCGGATGACCGAGGATTTTTGATATAATCTTCAAAAAAGATGATAAGAACTGATTCCTCACTTTTGATTGCTCTAACTCAATGTTGTTTACAAGTTTCACGCTAAAAATAAAAGACACATGACCTTGACATTGTTGACATTGACGATAACAACCACGCAATTGGTACAACTTTTCTTTTTCCGGCACTTACATTATGCAGACTTTTCTTGCTTTTACCTTGCAGTTGAGATACCAAAACTTCGCCTTATTTATATTTTTCATAAACCTTTAGCTTTATGATACAATTATCTTAAAAGAAACACATGATATTGTCTCACTATGTAACTTTAAATGTTTCATTGAAATTATTTTATACTATCTATTATACAGAGTCAAAAATGGCCGTACCAAATACTCCTCAGCATTATATTGAGTGTGAAATGTGTGAAGAAAACTGTCTGTACCACTGCAATTCATGTTACGTGAGACTGTGTGAAAAGTGTCGTGAAACACACAAAATAAATCCGTACACCAAAGCCCATGATATTGGTAGGTACCACCCGAGACTCTTGGCGCTCCCTTTGAAGAAATGTCCTCGTCATCGAACTAAGGATTTAGATACGCATTGCAAAGAATGCCAGATCCCACTATGTTCACACTGCGCTATATCCCATGATCATCAGGGGCATACGTTTGAAGATCTTGGAGAAATATACAGTGCAGGGAACTAATTTTGTTACATAAACCAGCATCAGCATAAGCATTAGTAGCATCAGGATCGAGCTAGCATCAGCATCAGCATTTAAAAAACAGCATTACCAGGATCAGCATCAGCAAGCAAAGGATAAAACCAGCATTGACCTACATAAAATCAGCATTATCCTACTAGCATCAGAAAATCAATGAGTTTTAATTCAGTAAAAAAATAAAAAAGAAAGAAAGAATGTTGGTTAAAGTATTCACATTATTGATACATAGTGAGAAATATGATCAAATAATTGTAAAAGGCACTTTTATTGCTTTAAACGGCAATGCTGAAATTCATTATCTACTTCCAGTAGCATGATGCTACTTCCGGTAGCATTGACCTAATTATAAAACAGCATCAGGATAAGGATAACTAGCATTAAATCAGCAAGCAAAGGGAGCATTCAAATCAGCAAGCAAAGGAAGCATTCAAATCAGCATTGATGCTGTAACAAAATTAGTTTCCTGCACTGTATTCGCAACATTTTGAAGTATTCAAAAAAGATTTGTGTAAAATCTACGAATATTTCCTGCCAGCATCCAACGATGTACTGGATGACATTCAGGATGATGTCACTAAAGCAAAAAAGATGATTGATGAGACAAGAAGAAAACTTAAATTGGAAACAGAGGTTGTTAAACGTGAAATTGAAACAGCATTATCCGAGAAAATGGCCCAATTAGAGAAAATAGAGAAGGATACACTCGAAGACTTGTACACACAAAGCAAGGCAATGACTGATTACATTTCTTATCTCAATGGACTTGCAAAGAAATATCAGTTCAAACTTGCAAATAAAGACCCGGAATATCTCGTTCGAAATGAGGCAGAGGAGATAAAACCTATCCCAAGGACGTTAAAGCCTGCCTATCCAACAGTGATCGCTGGAACCTTCTACAAAGCTGATGTTCTGAGGGCTTTGAGTAAAATCGTCCCTAATGTGTCAATAGAAAAAAGAAATATTCGGAGATTGTATAGTCAGAAGACCCTCTCCCATCTTCAGTTTCTGAAACAAAACCAGAGAGATATGATTAACCCTAGGCCTGGTAAACGGTGGAAAATGTCCAACTTTGTCACTGAGGCAAGGGGAATCACTGTTCAAGGTATGAAAAATATTCTTCATGTCTCTAAAGATAATGCAAACAGATTCTGGGTCAGCGAATTTGGTGGGAATCTTGTGCAGACTGATATAAAGGGAAATCGGCTGTGGAGCATAAGCATTAGTGGAACAGGAGGAGCTTGCCATACAGTGACAATGCACGGCAATCTCTTATTTGTAGGAAAGGAAAACAATATTATCTACAAAATATCAGATGACAAGATTATAAAATTCATACACTCAAAGGACTGGACTGCGCTTAGCATTTACGCCTCATACAGAAATGAGGACATACTAGTGGGAATGATTAAAGATAATACTGAAACAAATGATGCTAAAGTTACAAGGTACAGCAAAACGGGAAAGAAAATTCAGGATATAAAGAATAAATGCTGGACACGAATACTGTACAAATTTCCAGTTTACCTTACAGAGAATATTAATGGAGATGTCTGTGTATCGGATGGGCGAAGGGAGGCAGTGGTGGTTGTAAATAAAGCAGGAAAATATCGATTCTCCTACACAGGTCAGCAATCAAATTCAGAGTTCTCACCGTGCGGAATATGTACTGGCACCCTCGGCCACATTCTGATTTGTGATCCAAAGAGTTATTCAATTCACCTCTTGGACAAGGACGGTTTGTTCCTTTCTCTATTGAACATTGGTCAATCAGGTTTGATCAAACCTTGTGGACTGTGTGTGGATTTGGAGAACCAGCTGTATGTTGGATACTATGATAGCAATACACTGACAAGATACACATTGTACAAATACTAATAGCTGTGTTTGCATAATACATCAGGAAAAATCATTGTTAGATAAAAGACAGGTCATATATAGCAAGGCCAATGCAACCAATAGATAATTATATAAACAATCCAGACTACCTATGCTGAATTAATTTCAATGGTCTTGGACCCCATAAAAGAGAAATTTGGACATCATGGCAAAGAATTTAAATACAAAGAAACACAAGAAATGTGGATATTTACACACTCATACATTTATCTGAATTACTTGATATCAAATGATATAGTAGATAAATGTTATTGTATTGATCTTTTGAATAATATAGAAAATATAGTAACTTGTTTAGGTAGTGTATTTACAAATTCATTCTAGAGATGAGTCTTGCGGCGTCTCTCTACTAGTGTAATGGTTAAGGAGCATGTGTATAAAATGCAATGGAGACGTATAGTAAACAGACCAGCCAACTCTTGGTATGGACTAGCCAAATGTAAAACAAAGTACCAGTGGCAAGTAATCCTATGAGACTGATGTTAAGTGCAGGGTGTAGTAAATCTGAAGAAGATTTTAACATCCAGCTCTTGTCGATCAATAGGAACCTAGGGGAGAAAACGGTCTGAGCATCTCACGATTTCTACCTTGCTTTGGATTGGGTCTAATTTTGTCAATTATCCGAATTTTAAAATTTTTTACGCATGAATAATGATCACATGTCATTCATTCATTCATACTTTATTTTCACTTTACAGTGATTAATGAACATTATACAAAGAATATGCAAAAAAAGAATAACATACAAGTTCAAATTACATATCATATTCGTACTCAAGAGAAACTGAAATGCATGTGTACATTTATAGAAAAATGAAATATTTACAAAAGTTGTAACCACAAGCTAGTGGCCATTATTTATATATGCACATCATATCCAAATGTCTCTATGTGATATCACAAAAGGATAACAGATATAAAGGGGGGGGGGGACTGAAAAAAATGAGGTTTTGGGAGGCATCCCTCACTGGCAGATCTCCAGTACTGAAAGACTACACTTGTAGTATGCACAGGCATCGCAAACAAGTCGAAATGGTGCTCGGCTTGCGGCCTAGCAGAATCAGGTAGAAATCGTCATCTGTAAGGGCACATAATTCAGCACACAAGCAAATATCAAAGAAGTTGGTTATATCCTCTCTCCATTGATTACGGATATCATATGTGAAGCGGCATGAGCAAGACACGTGGTTAAACAGATCAACTTATGTAGCACCACAAAGGGAGCGATTTTGGTAGTTACTCTAGGAGATTCTGACACCAACTTACAGATGAACTTGCATAGAGAAATTTCTTAACAGTTGGAAGGTAGTCGCCAAAACAACGCAGGGTTACTATCCTGAAATATATTATGGAAACGGTCGAATCCTGAATCACCTGACATGCGATTATCCCTCTGGAGTTTATTGTATTGAAAGGTTGCAGATCTCACAATCCGTTTCCAAGATGATTTTGACGGAAATACTCCAATCGAAAGCCACTCCTTCATATATTCACAGAGGCTATAAATACATAACAAATTCAAAATGTCAGGAATAAAGTCTAGCTGTTTTTGAGCGATTCTCTCAAAGTATGAAAAAAGCCTTGTTAAGAAGTTAAGAATATTTTCTTTGACAGAGTTTTGAATTCCAGTCGACACAGACAGCCAAGAAATAGTAGCTTCCTTGTATCAATCTCAGCTTGTATCGGAAGAACTTTTCATTTTCACAAATGTCAGACCTTGTTCTTGTAGGAAGATTTTGGGCTTTTTTGACCACTAAGTGTTGGAAAACATTCAAGCGATGTTAATCATATGAGGATATGTCATTCCATAATTCACATCCATAAAGCACCGAAGGTAAGACAACTGATATGTAATGGTGTGAGAGTGTTAAAGGGTTTAGGTATCGAGATCCAATATCATTAAGAGCGAAATATGAATTTTTCCCTTTTCGGCACGCAGAGATAATCCTATCTAAAAGGTTGCACTTATTATTGATGAGAATGCCAAGATGGTTGCAGTTGTCCAAAAAAGGAATGATATCATTCCCAGGATACCATACATAGTCGGAGTCTACTTTTACACTTTTCGCTCGAAATCTTAAAATGCAAGATTTTTGGGCATTAAATGTAAACATGGTAAATCGCCACTTCCTAGAATATTGGTATGAAGTGTTAAACATTGCTTGAAGGGATGCAGGTGAAAGTCCAATGCATGCAAGATCATCTGCCAATGAGGGAAGCTGCTTGAAATATTAAGAATGCCAGATTTATTAGATGATTTTTCTAGACTATCAATCAAATCATTAATGTACACAAGATACAAAAATGTAGAAAGAACACCGCCTTGTCTGACGCCCTGTTGTACAGGAAACACCTAGACTGAGATTGATTAACTATAATAGCACTTGATGTATCAACATGACAGTCATTTAGTATAGTCCAAAGTTTGCCTGTTACACCAAGTTTATGCAGTTTCAAAAAGAAAGCATGTTTCCATACAGTGTCAGATGCTTTGGTACTATCTAAAAAACTAACATAAACATTGCTACCCTGTTCTAAATTATGGAACATTGTTTCATGTAAGTTAAAAGACGCTGTCAGACAACCTAGCTTCTGTTGAAAACCTTGTTGTTGGAGATTAGGGAATACTTTATTACCTAAAGCATGTTCAGAAATGCGGGTATGAATGATACTCTCAAAAATCTTTAAGAAGCATGACAATAAAGCGACTGGTCTGTAGCTATTGCAAGAGGTTTTGAATTTTCCTCCTCCCTTATATAGAGGCACAATGAAACCCTGTTTCCAAGAAGATGGTATTGTACAAAACAACACAATAGCATTAAACAGTTTTACAGTACATTCAAGAACACGTTCGCCACCGAAGATAATGTGCTCATATGTAACTCGATCAGCGCCATGAGCTTTTCTGTATTTGAGTTTGCGAATAATGGGCGCTAACTCGGTTACAGTAATTAGGCCACAAGGATATCGAGCACACAACCTTTCAATGTCCGCGTACTTTTCAACCTGTCGATAAAAGTCTTGGTCAAACGAAGGGTCATTAGAGGGAGAATAAATATTCTGAAAGTGCCTGGCGAAGGCTTCAACGACTCCTGAAGGATTGCTATATACTATGCCATTGTCCCCGTGAATTTCAGGATAGGTATACGGGAAGCTCTGCGTTTCCGTCTTTTCACTAACTTCCAAAATCGGCGGATATCGCAATCAGCTGCCTCGTCAAGATCACGGTATACACTGCTCATATAGCCCTCGTTTTCCGCATATAACGCATTTCTGAAATGTCTTTTGGCCCTTTTGTAGTTGCAAAAAAGTTTCATGAACCATACCCCTAGGTCCTCCCTCATCGATCCAGAGACGCCGCATTCTTCTTTCTAACACATGAGCTTCTTTTACCTCTCTATAGTCCATCCCGGTCTTGTATGTGGATTATATCCAGCTTGGGGTATATTGTGCTCAGCGGATTTTATCAGAACTGAACACAAATCACAGTACAAGTCATTAATACCAGATATAGATTGGATATCGCAGTTAAGTATACCATGCAGATCTTGCTGCATTGAAGATCTATAAGACTCAATAGCAACAGACGAAGCTTTATGCCATGCTGCAATTTTAAAGTTAGAGTGTAAGATAGTGGTGTGAGCATTTGAAGTTTAGATCGGCAAGGACTGGTAAATGGTCTGAGGTGATGGAGATTTTACCTTCTTCAAAAATCTTATAAGATACTAATTTATCCTTGAAGGATTTGTTGAAGAAGATATAATCTAACATCGTGCCCTTTTGAATGAATGTAAATTGTTCCCCTTCTATATTGAAATCAGACCCTGGTAAACAGAGATCACATCTATTAACAAAATAGGAAAGGATTTCAGATTTAGTTGGGTTTGTGTTGATGGGACTGATAAAACTACTATTTAAATCACCTGCAATTACAACAATGCCATATGAGCTATTGTAATTGTACAGACTTTCAACAATATTGAGTTCATTCCTGCATAAATCTATGTTACCGTCAGCGGGTAAGTATACACCAAAAATGTACATGACATTATCATAATTGTCTTTCAAGGTATCACACCGGTAATTGTTTTCACTATGTAATTCTGTATAGAATAAAAAATCATTAAAAAACAGGTATTCGAATTCATGAAAAAATATTTAGCAGGAAGTGTTAAACGTTACCAGTCACATCAGCTGACATCAAAAAATAGGGTACCTACACGGCATTTTCTGATTTTTTCCATCCGCAAACAGGAATACCTTCAAAACCACGTGTATTCAATGTGTTTATGAACATCCTGTGTGCACCCCAGGAAGTGGCCTCCTATGCCCCGAAAGAAATAGTTCCTGTCAAAAACCTTTAATATTTTACAAAGTACATAAAATATCCTAAGCACAGATACCAAAAATGTAAAAATAGAATAGGGGAAATTTAAAAATTTCTCACAATAAAAAAAATATTTCTTTATTATGTATGGAACTACAATTGACTAAGTTCATTTTGATTGGTCAATTACCGGTGTGATACCTTAACTTCAACACCAACCACACAGTTAGAGTCATTACATGTTACCTCTTTGACAGAGTACTCAAGCGAATTCCTAATTATAATGAGCAGTGCAACACCACCCCTACCTACAAAGTGTGAACTACAAGTCACTCTAGGATTTGCATAGATATCAGTGCATGTCTATCTTGACAAGACTTTTATAATCTTTATGTATAGAGTCTAAATACATTGACGAGGTAAAGTTATCTTTAAGCTTGTGCTCTGATATAATTGCAAAGTCACACTTTGTATTGTCAAGCATGTTTGAAAGGCACAATGTAGAGGACATCATTCCCCTAACATTCAATGACAAAATAACTACCATAGTAAAATAAAGAACTAAGTACAGAAAATAAATTATATGTCTATTCATAATAGTGGGTATGTCTTTGAGCTTTAAATGTAAGTATTTCCGACGGTCGTTTACATC